CATCAAGATTTGTTGTTGAAAACTATATGTACCTATATAAACTTATAAATAATTTAATACCAAACTAAAAGAATGTCCATCTGTTATGATATCAATACAATAGACTGGGCCTGACATTTTTAAATACCATTACTTCAAGCTTAAATTGTGAAATCTCCAAGCGAAATAGGTCTCGGGCTCCATTTCCAGTCCGAGAGAAATATTTGTATGGCCTACATATAGTTTGGGTGTAATTTGTGATTGTCTATGTATGTGTTCATGGCACCCGCAACACAGGGTTTCCCTAGTGCGGGGCTATGAGTGTGTATAAAAAAACAGGATTACGGCAAAAATTTGTAAGACCCGGACTTGGCGTGATTACTAGTCACAAAATATTTCTTGTAAATAGTAAATAAACATTTTTTATCCTTGAATTATTGTTAGAATAATAATAAAAAATTTAACTGCCTCTGTGGCCGAACGGTTACCATGCCGGACTGCCACGCAGAGGTCCTAAGTCGATTCCCGGGCCGGGACAAATATTTGTATGGCCTACATTTATTTCTCTCGTGAGTTTGGGTGTAATTTGAGGTTGTCTATGTGTGTGTCCATAGCACCCGCAAAACAGGGTCTCCCTAATGCGGGGCTATATTGAGTGTGTGCGTTGTTATTATTATTGTAATAAGAAAGACCAGTCTTGACTCTACTTGAGATTTTTTACGGCGATTAAATCGCGAGACTTTTTTTAATATACTTCTATCAACTGTGATTCAGATGAAAAAATAAGCGACGAATAATATTAGTGATGAATAAGAACGTAGCTGTTTTTTTTTAGTTAGTCGTGCATAATATAAACATTATATACATACAATTATAAAAAAGGTGGTTTTATTTAAGAAAATCTTTGTTATTCTGTCATAATCTAGCCTTTTTGCCTCAAACGCGGAACAACGCGCCCCAAAGCGGGGCTGAATGTTCCGCCCCGATATTTGTCAAAAATTTGCCTCTATGAAAAACACTATTGAGATATTATTAGAAGTGATTATACTATTACAAAAAACGATAAACATTAATTCAATATTTCCACATATTGAAAATCAAATCCTTCATTTTCAGAATAAAACTGCAAGTTATTTGAAAATCGGAATGTTCAGCTCCGCTCTCCCCTACACAAATGTCAGAGTAATCGCGTAACACAACAAAAAAATACAGTCTAATTGAGAACCTTTTCCTTTTTTTGAAGATGGTTAAAAATAGTCCGTGTCATGCTTTTAAAACCGAAGCAATCCTTCACTTTCTTTATTCTCTCTCCATAATACATATTAACTGTTTTGTATGCTCAATAAGTAGAACGAAATGACTCCAACGTGCATGACATACTTCCTTAAAAAGTCAAGTAACTCGATTTTCACTACATAGTGAGTTTAATATTAACGTGCACTGTGAAATACGAAGTAATAAATGTAACAAAAAACCTCTATTGAAACCTCAATCGAACCTCGATGATTTTAAAATTTTATTTTAAGGCTCTTGCTGTATATAATACTTAAACACAATACGTGAATGTGTTATTTAAATGTTTACCATGTTTTGAGCTTTTCCATGATTTTTTTTATTTTAAAAGACCGTGACGTTAATGTTCGTTGCCTTTATTATCTATAAATAATTGTTATTCTGAAGTTTTTGAAAATATATCTATTTCTCTTCAAACGCGACACAGCGTCCCGTAGTGCGGGAGTATGTTGAGTGTGTGCGTTATGCAATCGCACGTTTGCGTCGATGCAGACGCGATGCAAGCGCGTGGCTTACATCGCTTTTAAAGGAAGAATATGATCAAATTTACAAAGGCAGAAGATGAAACGGATAGCATTATTGAGAAGGCGGTCAAGCTTATCCAACATATCTTCATTAAGATCAGCGTACCAGACATCAGCATAATCAATGAGTGAGAATATACTTGGTGTATGGTTCATAATATGGTGACAAGTAAGATTTTAGTACTAATAGGAAGAAAGTTTCGAAAGCGGTTGAGAAAACGTAAAGAAGTAATAACTCTCCGACTCACCTCGGATACCTGTGAGGCCCAACTTAGTGAGGAGTCAATGTAGAGGCCAAGGTTTTTAACACTAATGCTGAGCGGAACTGACGCGTTCTCATATACTATATGATGGAATGAACTATGATGGAATGAACTATAGTCAATCTTGGAGATCTGTTTGGATCCACCTACGACAATAGCTTGATACTTCAATGGATTGACAGATATCCCAAAATCAGTTGACCATATACTAACGCATCGTAGATCGCGGTTAATCTGAGAAATCGCTGAATTAATGTCCTCAGCAGAAGCCTGTGCGTAAATCTGCAAGTTATAAGCATAAAAATGGTAAGAGTAGTTAAGTGAGAAAGAACGAAAATTAATAAAGAGGGAGAACAAAAGTGGTGACAGAATTCCACTCTGCGGAACACCAGCCATTAAATCATGCCAGTCGGAAACTTTCGGTCTTTCGGAATTGCTTGCTGGCGCTCACGAAGGTAGGCCGAAAACCAATTCACTGACAATGGCGAGAAGTTAAGTGGCTTCAGACTGGCAAGTAGAATGTCGTGGTCTACCATGTTAAAGGCGGTGGAAAAGTCGACAAATACGATGGCAGTGACTAACTGCTTCTCCATGCCCAGCCTGATGTCTTCAGTAACTTTCAGGTTGTCGTACCATGTCCCGGGCGAAACCCAGATTGAAAAGGGGAAAGAAGGTTATTAGAAAATGTGAAGGAGGATACTTGTTGATGACAGTGGATTCTAAGAATTTAGAAAGGAAAAGAAGACTAGAAATAGGCTTAAAGTTATTAAGTTGCACGGGAGAAGGTATTTTTAGCAAAGGTATAATAAATGCCTTACGCCAAACAAGAGGGAAATCACCATTCTGTAAAGATAAGTTGATGATATGAACAATAGTAGGGAACAATTTGATCAACAATGTTGACAATCATCTCTCTGCTCACCTCATCACATCCTACGGCTTTGGACCTTATAGAAAACATAATTTTACGCAAACCGTCAGCTGTTACTGGAGAAAAAGAGAAATAAACTGAAGAAGATAGAGGCCTGGAAGCAATTACTCGAGTAGTCTTGGCCTTAACAGAAGTATCAAAAAAAGGGGTAGACGAGAAGTGGTAGTTGAAGTCGTTAGGAGTTAAAGAATAGGAGTTAGGTTGAATAGAACATTTACCCAAGCCAAGAGATCTGAGGAACTTCCATATATTAGCCGAAGAACAATTGGAGATGTTACTATAAAAGTATTGACGCTTAGCTGCCCTCTCCAGATGGAGATGCACGTAATAGATGTAATCAGATGATTACATCTATTACGTGCAATCTTATACAGAGACCAATTAGCCTCCGATCTATTATTGAAAACCCGAAACTGCTGTTCATGTCACCTAGTCATGGCCATACGAACGCCTTTACTAATCCAAGGAGCAGAATGCCGCTTTACTCTAATAGCCCTTAGTGGGGCATGGACTTTGTACAGTTTGAGCAGACACTGGTTAAGATTGGAAATTATCACATTAACTGACGATGCACCAAGAACCTCGGAAAAATCAAGTTCAGTTCGTTGCTGGTTGAAGTTCGTCCTCCGCCGCAGCGAACGCCGAAAGATCACCTTCGGTGCCTCAACTTGACATAAACGTTGCCATCCACCGTCCAACACCTTTTGATACCAAAGCGTGAACTTGCCCGGACAAACATTGCTTACCGCTGACGAGCGAGGAACTCTGGGACTATATGGGGTGTATGCTTTAAAGCTGTCTATTTACTCCACACAGCAATTTTCAACGAGTTCTCTGTGAAACGCATCAACACTGGCTGGCATTTCCTGTTGCCTGTCAAACTGCCCAAGCGATGGCAGGTACTAAGGTTCTCTGATATTAAGTTCATGCCAGTTTATCATTAAATAGATCCACAACAAACTGGGAAAGATTCTCTTCAACAGTCTCTGGGATGCCGCTTACAAGAAGATATTTCCTACGATGCCTCATTTCAATGTCATCGACAGATCTGCAGAGTTGAGATTTTTGTTCACGCAATATCTGTAGAATGGACAATACCTCAGATTTGAGTTCACCAAATTCATCCCACAGACGTAACTGTGATTTCTCTACTTGTAGTTGTGAAGTAGTATCCTTCCACTGAGTTTCCAGCTCATTCATCTTCTTAAATAGTCCTGGCTTCAAGAGAAAGTTGAGTTTCTAAGACTATTGTGAAATTGGCCATTGTTATAGGTTGTTAAACACACGGTGAATAGTGCTTTAGTAGAGGTAGTGGTACCGGACAGGACAGTATGCTGAAACACTATTATTTACACATATACTGTGAAGATAACACTAGTTCAAGATTCTGACACTATGTACTATATGAAATCACTGCCATTACGCTCACTGAATTAATGTAAGTAATTAATTAATAAAGATTATTATGGAAGCTCAAAATTAAGTTGTTTTTACTTCTACCGCCATATGCATCATCGCTGCATCACGGTGTTAACGCTGCTGCATAACATAAAACAATATTTGTGTTGTTAACAGTACTATATCTCCACACAAACGCGCAAATTTCGCACTTACAGAAGCGCTTCTAATCTCACAACATAAACTACATAAGGACCGCGTACGGACAGATCGTGTTTTCTTAGTGTGAAATCACACTTGTATGAGGATTACTAAGACGGTTCCGGTCACTTTTTACCTTAAGGTGAAATAGTATCTTGGTTGCGTAAGCTTTAAAGCGTGTGAGGTAATAATAAAATACTAAATAAACTGACGGTCCCCAGACGTACATATATTATTACGGAACACGTGAGAGAAAACTTCGTTGAAATATCTCTTATAAACACGGAAGAAAAAAACAATGGAACTGCCTTAACCTAGATACTATCACCGCTGTCGCCAAAAACACACATTCATAATTTGAAACACTATGAAATCTTGATAATGATTGATCGTAGTTTCAAATTTAAAAAGAAATAGCAAATATTCTTTATTACATATAGATCGAGATAGATAATATAACTTAAACTTAGCCCTGTTGGCATATCGTTGAAATTTCTATACCTATTATTACAAGTTACGACGTTTTGGTTTTACATTGAAATTTCAATCAATATGCGGTCATCTAGCGGTTAATAGCTAAACGAAGACGACGGATTCGTTTGCTTGGTTCTTCAAAAAAGAAGCGACCATATTGCAGGGCAGAAAATTGAAAATGTATGAAAATTAAATAAACTAAGATTTAATAATGATAGGGAACAGCACTATAGATAATATTATAAGTGCGACTATCATTTTTGCAACCATAACGTACAAAACGAAAATGGCGGACTGAGCTCCAGTTTGCGGAACTCTGCAAACTGTCGCCACACGTACTTCTACTGTATTTATTGTTCTGTACTTGTAACAATCGCATGAAACTTTCGTAAATTTTTTCGTAGATGAATGTAGCAAATAAATAAAAACGGAACTTCGCGATTTTTTATCGAGTGACGTTTAAATCAATCGTGTTTCGGGCCCCATAATTACCTACCGTTATCACTTACATATACTACCGTTATCATTTATTTTCATTATCAGTTAAAAGTTTAATTCGTATTTTCTATATCGAAAACCAAATTTCCGTGTAGTCGTAATGCGTGAAAACGTCTGTTTTGGGTCTCACTTCACCTTAGGCAATATGTGTTTCGAGATGTAAAGATGCACTGACTTCGCATTATATTTTTCATTCATTAAAATTTCGTAAAGATTTCACATTTACATCATATATGTGATTGAATACGACATCAACGAGGCGATGCCAGATCATGTCTTGCGCTGCGGTTGCTATCGTCTCGTTCGAATTCGAAGCATACGGATCCACTTCGTACAGCTGCATTACGAACTCTAACGCATAAGGTATACCATACACCTGTAAAAAGACAGATGTTAAAAATATACATCCGCATGATGTGTACACAAATCAACAATGCCATCTACTGCTAAATAGCAGAGTTCATCATTTTGTTTGTATTCTTCTACTTTTTTGCTATATTCGTTCAAAGTAAAGTGCAACAAATAAATACATCAACACATGCAAGAGGTTTTTTGTACTTACCGCTGAAGCATAATCTACACTAGAGCCATTCACTTTTCCATACCAGTTGTAGAGAGTATCCATAGAGGCCGCCGACTTGAAGCTGGCATTTTTCATCGCTTCTTCGATGTCGTCTTTCAAATCTATGTATTTGTCATCGTCACCTACTATTTCTGTAAATCCTTTCGGGTAGAGTACAGCATCACCCTAAAATAAACAATGAAACACTTGCAAATTCATAGTTGCTTTTCTCTACACAGGGAACGAAGCTGAAGAAACGGGAATGTAAACTGCAACTGCATTATAATAACTAACCCTTCATTGAAAAGACGTACGTGCAATAGACTACAGGAGAAATGCATTACCAGGTCTTTTTTAAATACCTTGTAAATATGTTCATGGTATCCTCCAGCGTGCACATGAATATACGCGATCATCTTGTGACCATGAGCATGAAATACATCTCTAATAGCTTGTGTCTCTGGTTCAGAAAAAGGACGACCACCGGGATACTGTGGGCTGCAAGACTGCAACGACAGCGAGTTTCCGAAAGCGACATTGAAGTTGCGGTCCAGAGCCACCCCTGGGCATGTGTCTTGCGGCGACACGTTCTTGTTCCACAATGGAAACTGGAAAATCCTTTCTGTTATTGCATATTAGCGTTAGAGGTCGTTGGAGAAAATTTAAGGTGAAACCAGTTTCTTGCCCAACAGCATCGCTTGGCTTCATAATTAAGAATATACATATACGTAGGTGTTAACGCAGACTATATAATGACTATGATTTTCAAATATGACTGATGGTCTGAATCCACTGTATTCGTTTTCGGCAACCTGTCACTTTCAACCTGTATCATTCACAATACTTCTTCGAAATCTTTTACACCGTTTCGGAAAAACTAGGTAAGGAGCAAGCATTCATTCAAACAATTGCATTTATAATAAACACTAGACAGCTTACGTGGTAACTATACGCCACTCCATCAGGATTTGCCATTGGTACAAGATAAATATCAAACTTGTCCAAATGTTTAAAATAAGTCTTGAGGAGTAACAAAAACTTTTTCACTACAATCAAACAAGGTACTTCTTTAAATCCCATAACACTTAAACCGTGGACAATGAACACGATTTTCTTCTCAGGAACATCATTGGCAAATTTGTTGTGTTCGGTTCGAAAATTCGTGTCTTCACTATTGTGTAATTGAGTTGCTTGAAGCATAATTATTTCGTTGTACTCGGTAGACCGCCCGATACGGTTTATAGTGACATTTGTATACTCTGCTCCCCTTAATAATTGTCGTAGTTGAGCTCCTATCTGAAACGTAAATAGTCATTATAATTGAATAATAATTGTACCAAATTGATAATCTTTAGGAAAAAATTGTGTACATTTAGTAAGAATTGACTTCCAAAATTAAATCTCAATTACAGTTTCTGTAAATTTTTAACAATTCTTATGCTTTTCCGGCGTGATTTAAATAATCTTGTTTTTATTAGAAAAGAGTAGAAGATAAGAGATACTCTCGATGGAACTGATCGGATCTTAAAATTTGCCAATATATGATAAAACATTTAAGCAATGGCAATATTTTCATATGGTATAAATACTTACACTGTAAACGTTGAACAGCTCTGACTGTTTAACATCTTGTTTCATTGTAGTAGTAGTAGTCGTTTGTCTGAAATAAGAAAAACGTTAATTGAGATAAAATTATTATAGACCTAAATAAGCTTTACAATATGTGAAGGTGCCTTAATAATAAGTGTAAATATCGAGTTCTTAGGTTTCCACCATTATTAGACATAGGAAATGAAACTATTTTATTGTTCTTTCAAACAAACCCACGCTTCTGACCCTTTGCTGATCCATGGGTGACGGCTGTCTGACCATGTCAGTTCATCAGTCAGCCGTGACATTGGGACGTATAAAGGGCCCGAACCATTGGGTTGCAAACAACCAAAGTAGTTCAAAAACTACTGTTACAAATGTATGCCATTTAGATCCCAAAAAAATAGTTTCATTTCGTATATGTATAGATTTTAATACGCAAACAACGAACTTTTCATCATGAACTAAATGCTAAAAGTTTATCATCGTCTATTTTTTTTTATTAATACTAAGTGACGGGACGAATAAGTTGTGTGCCTGGTGGTAAGCGTCACGCCTGTCCCTAACAGTTGCATTGTCACCTGACAGGTCCCATATGCCTGTAATTTCACCAGCACCCTTGCCCTTCGAAACTGGAACGCAGTAATGCTCACATTACTGCTTGGCGGCAGAAATAGGTAAGGTGGCAGTACTTCCCCGGTCGATCTCTTTCACAAGGAGCTCTACTAAATTTATAAGTATTCTTTGTATAATACAATTGAACTTACTCCTGTTGAGTTTCCGCTTGAACCAATTGATGGTGAGACGTGTATCCATTTTGTAAGGTATACCTACTCCAAAAAAAGTTAGATTATTTCCGAAAATTAACGAGTATTTACGTAATTATTAAAATTGTTAAATACCTACCTGCGATTGTCGTTGCCGTAGCTGTTGACGTTGCCGTAGCTGTTACTAGCTGTAGAATACCGATGAGAGGCTCTGTAAACGATGCACCACCATAATACACAGCATTATTCGCATCGATAGCCATGGCCATTTTGTCGATAGCAGTAACATGCAAAAATAACTGATACGCTTGTGTTACTATGATAAAAAGCTATCATTATTATTTAAATGAAGCAGTAATCAAAGTGTTATAATGAGTCTACGTTAACTGTGCCTACAAGTCGCACCCTTGGTGTAATAAGGTCACATCTACAAAATAACAATTTTTCAGGAGAGACGTTTCTGCGAACGAAATTATTTGATAACATTTTTTTTACTTAATAGGAGAGTTATAAATATACACATATACATTTTTTTTTCATAATGTTCTTTTCGAAGAACTGTTTTTTTAGCATGTCTAAGATATAACACGTACTCTCCAAATTTTAATGGTGGGTTTCTCCTCCTCAGTACATTAGTTCCCCAGTCAACGGTCGGAATTTTTGAACTGTTGCCCATTAGTGCGATCAGCGAGTCTAACAAGACCCTTCGTCGTTGTTTCGCAAGGCTTCGTAAGCGGCGTTGCTCAACAGACGACGCAGCTGTAAAATTTGACGCGTTCTCCTCTATTGACATCGTGCGTCTAAATTTTCTGTAACAAATATTTTATTTGTATTGAATATCATGATGGTAATGATATCCATCTGTTTATTGTGAAAATACTCCATTACTTTGTTAATATTATTGTTACAAAGATCGAAGAAACACAAAGAATGGTTCCTTGGACCCAAATGGACTTGAATCAGTGACTGTTGCCTCTACGTGGCTACTGCTCTGCCAACTAAGCAACGGATCGAGGCAGCACATTAAGGATATAGTCGCTGGCTCGAGCCCAGTCGAGTCGAAGGAATTTTTCTTCGTGTTTGTTCAATCTTTCTATCAGCAATAATGACAACAATCATATAATATTTTGTACGATTTTCATACAAATACTATATAAATAATTTGTTCTTCTTTTCCACCTTAAGAATAGATTTTACAACATAATTAATGTAAAAAACATCGTACAGTTCAATTGCGAGGCAGAAGACTGGTGCCTACTAGTCTGTACTGAAGTCTGGACCTAGTACGCCTGGTAGGTGTGGTACCTGTAGGTCGCCAGGTATCCACCACCAGATCCCAATGATACAATATTATGATGATGTTGTTGACAATAGTAAGACGTTAAGGATACATTGGCATGATAATATTGAAAATACACGAATTATTTATTGTTAACTATTATTTTTTGTGTAACTGCCTCCGTGGCCGAACGGTTACCATGCCGGACTGCCACGCAGAGGTCCCAGGTTCGATTCCCGGGCCGGGAGAAATGTTTGTATAGCCTACATTTATTTCTCTCGGGAGTTTGGGTGTAATTTGTGGTTGTCTATGTGTGCGTCTATGGCACCCGCGACACAGGGTTTCCCTAGTGCGGGGCTATGTTGAGTGTGTGCGTTATTAAGTTAAAAATAATAGTTTTGAGAAAGGGCAAGTATGATAATTGATTTTTTTTATAACATTAAGTGACGGGACGAACAAGTCCAACAAGAACAAGTAAGCTACACGCCTGTCCATAACAGTTACAGTGCCACTCAGGGCTTTTAATTGCAAAGATCTGAGGGGCACTCCCACTGCGCCCGTCACTCTGAGACATAAATTGACAAGTCCCATGTGCCATTTCACCAGCACCCTTATCCTTCAAAACCAGAACACAATAATGCTGACATTATTGCTTGGCGGTAGAAATAGGTAAAGTGGCAGTACTACCTTGGGCGAAATCTTTCACAAGGAGCTCTACTGCTAAACAAAATATCTTTCTTATTCGTAATAATTAACAAAAATAACGTTAAGGTATATTCTCGAAAATGTACACACATCAAGCTACACATTGACGAATCTTGTTCCTTTGCAATGGAGGCGATTTTCGAACAAAAATGTGTAGTCTGATGTACCGTTGTCCGTACAATACTTTCATGAAGTGTACGCTTAATACCAAAATATATAAAATGTTATTTTAACCTACAAAAATGAGTAGACTAGTTATTTAGAATTAGAAAATACATTGTTGCTAGTAATTGGAAAACAAATAAAAATACAGGTTTGTGTTCCAAAACGTATTTCAATTATAAGTACATGTATATTATTATGCCAAAGAAAAAAAAACACAGTATCGTGGTCTGCTTGTAAATAATAATAATATTATTAGTATTACATGTAGAATAGCAGTTATTTTGTACGAAAAATGAACCTTGACGGGATTTAATAAAATAAATTTAGGTATTTAAAGAGAAATAAATACAAAACTTACGAAAATCGCTTAAGATCATTACAATTCACTGAAAAAAAGTAGAATACATGAAATTCAAATTTTATTTCCAAGTTTTTCAATATATGTATGAATTGTAAACACAAATTATTAAACTAATAAATAAAATATTGTACAATTTTACATAGATACATATACAATACATAATATACGTTACGTATTCTATGTGTAACAGTTTTAATACTTTCTTGCATTTGTCTGTTTCAAAAGAGCTAAATAAATCTAAGGGTCCTCACGCATTGCATGTAACAGCACCGCACTGCAGTGATTAGTTGTACAAGATAGTGGCGCAGCCTCCCCGCTACGAACTCTTTCACAAGAAGCTCTACAGCTTGTACTACTAATGTTACTCTGTCACTCAAATACATTAAGGTATTATGTACTACGTAGTACGCATTACTTCAATGTTCAAACACAACACAACTTTATGAAAAAACAATGGTGAAATCATAGTTAAAATAATTATTTTGCGTCTACAAATTACAAGTTTGAATAAAATAAATTGATTACATTTTTCAAATTATAACAGAGGATTTGAAAAATAGCTAAGTCTGGAATTTAAGTCCTATTTAAAAGAAACTCAAATGACTAATTAGAACGTAACCGAACTGATATCTATAACAGTCAGTTTCTTAGTTTGTTAACGTTGGGCGACATCTAGCGGTCAAAGAAAGAATTTCAGTACCTACGTATAGATTAGGTCCATATTAAGTTACTTGACGTAATATGAAATGTACTGATTATACCGATTTGTAATAAGAGATTAACTTTACTACAAAAAAATAAAGTTGTAAAGATAATTCCTTCTCCAAATATACCACGCGAGAAAGTGGTAAAATTATTAAAAAAGTGCACGATGTCAGGGATGGATAATGATGGTGAGACAGGTTTTACAAAAAATAATTTGTGTCCAAGTTACCAGTGCACGGTATGTATTAATATTGTATTAACTCAGTCTCACTCTTTTTTTTAAGGCTTAACTACTTACATACATTTTGACCATGCAATTATAAAAAAATATTTCCTCTAAACTTTCGTCTCGTCACAAACCTGCGGCACCGTACAGCTTGTAAACATTTCATTCAATTTTGTAAAACATAACCTTCAAAATTTCAAACCGGAATATCTTTAATTCCAGATTTCTCAGAATAGTAAACCCAAAACAAAATTTGCTCAGGAATTTAGACTCTATATTTTCACATATTTTTTCATAAACAGACGCATATAAATTATGTCAACAAAATTTTATAGGGAAGTGCGCCATTGTCCTCATTTTTGGAAGCACTGAAAAGGACTGTGATATTTTTATAGTGTAAGTCACGAAAAACCCTTATATACGGTATCAATTTACTTTTGCAACAGTAACCCCCAAGTGTGATAGCTTCCAGCTTTGCTGCAATTACAAAATTCCGTGGTGGTGGTGGTGGTGTTCCGAAATTATGTGGTGATTACAACGTCATATTTGGAAGACTAATTGTCAACATTTTGAATTTTTTGGATCCAAATCACGCATTAATGTTTTTTTGAAACATACTAACTTTTCAGGCTCTTCAGGGGTATTATAGTTACGGTTTACAGCATTTAGATAAAAAAAACATTGTTTCATTTGTATAAGAACTCGATTTCGGCATTCTGGGTCTTTAATTAATAATAACGTAACGTAACTTACCTTCAATAAAACAAAATAAACTTAATACTACAATGATCACAAATACTATGAAAATTGGTTCACGTCGGCTCATATTGAAAATATTTATACGAATGTCTGCGTTATAAAAAAGCGTGATATAATTTAACAAGGTAGTAATATAGTTTTTTTATGTAAGTTTGTTATGCAAGCTTTTGATATTGCACAAGCATTTCCATTGCATTTATATACAGCATTAAAATAAATAATAAAACAAAATGCATTTCCGTCGTCGTCGTCTTTAATTTTATAATCCATAATCGAATTACTTTAAATACACAATTCTAAAAGCCATTTATTAACTATAGTATCTATAACATTTTATTGTAGCCTCTAGAATATACAGGTACTATCACTGGAACTAATATTCAACATTACAACTTTTCCATAATAATATTTTATTTTTATGAACATCATGTTGTTTTACTTTCATGATTGATATTCTAGATCTATTTTTTGGGAAAATGCTCCACTAGTTTGTTATCATTATCGACATAAAGATAGAACAAAGTCAAAGAAAAATTCCTTCGATCCAACAGGACTCGAACCAGCGTCTGCTGTCTCTACGTCGCTACCGCTCTGCCAACTGGGCTACATACGAATCGTTCTGTGCTCGTTGTTGTTTTATACTGGGTTTAAATGAGTTTTAGCCGTAGCACCACCTGTGAGAATTCATGAAAAGTTCTTCCCAAACACAGACTTCAGGTACCTTTATAAGCTACCTGAAGTCTGACATAGATGTCGCTGTATTAATTGTAATATTTTATTTTTTATTAGACGTAACGCCTCATCTAAACAACTCTCATGTTAAAAGTTGTATTTTGCTTATCATTTGTTTGACGTAATAAAATGGAATCAACCGCAATACTTATAATGAAAACTCATTTGGTCCCAAGCATTTATTGAAAGTAGGTTGCGCTTTTATTCAAATGTCCTAGATGTAGAGTCGTCCTAGACATAGGACGACAGCTTTTCGTGGTAGCTGTCGTTATCTCGTCAGCAAATATTGGAATAACATCCCTCCACCCTTACGGATTAGTTAATGCAAAACATAGTACAGTCATATACACAAGACACCTGACCCCCCAAGCCGACTTTGTCGACCTTTTGGTTCTGAGCACAAAAATGTGGAGAAAATTGTTAAACAAAGTTAATCTTTAACCTGAGAGCCGTAAAATTTATTTTGGTATGACTGCCTGATCGTCTCTAAATTCGTAATTAGTGAATGACATTTTAAGTTTTTAAGCCAATTTGATATTTAACGAATGGTTCTTACTTAAATACAGAACACAAATTTCAACCAGCTTTTAGTAAGGCCATCGTGGCCAAGTGGTATAAGGATTGTTTTGCAAATTGAGGCAAGAATGGTGCGAGTCAAGCATGGTTCGAGTCACATTAAAAATAAAATATTATTTCGTTATGACTATATAATATTGTATATATTTTTTTGTTTTTAACGTCTGGATAGGTGTAAGGAATATCTAAGTCTTGTTCATACAGAACAATGATTTCTAATTTTAATAATTCCGTTAAGTGCGGCATATTAAAACAAGAAAGAAAACTTTGAAAGTCACTAAAACCTTCAAAGTAATTAAAACTGAATAGACAAATAGGAACGAGATGTGGAACAATGCGTAATCACAGAAGATATGTAAAGTGCAAAGCGATTTCGTGATTTGTTAATCTATCCATACCCACCATACGCTTTATTAATAATATCTACCCACCCACCTTAGGCAATTTCCAGTGAGCAAATATTGTGATTTGTCAACGTTAACATTAAAAACTGAAACAATGCTTTTAAAAATATAACGTTAAAACAAAACAGCGCTCGTGGAATCGAACCACGGGTATTGTAACTGGCAGTTGATCTACAAGCCGCTCGAATAATTTACTTGGATATTAAATGACGAAATTTAGTATTGATTTTAAAGATGTTTTCATCATCTTCAAGCAACACTCCACTGTATTGCTTACTTAATAAAGTTGAAATTGCTTCAATTTTTTCTTTGTTCAATACGCAAGATGGCTCTCAGAACCAAAAGGTCGGTTTGGGCATGTTAGGGGGTCAGGTATCTGATGTATATGACTGTACAAAACTGAATTCAAAAATATTGTTTTTAGTTCACAAAACCAAACTTAATGCAATCATGGTGGTGACGGGGCAGACAATAAGCACATGGTACAAAAGTAAATCACTTCTTTTGGTTTTATGTTCAATGTCTTCTCGTTTCCATTATCATTTTCTTGTCTACACATTGACCAAGACCTAACCAACATGTACAAACCGCACTCTTCTATGTACATACACAATTACACTTTCCAATATTCTATGCTTTTGCTTTTATGTACTGTCTGTTTATTTATAGTAATTTTAATTTAAGGAAGTTGTTGTTGTGCAGACGGCGGTGCATCAGGCGTAGCAATTTGACCTTGACAGCTTTCTTATTCTATCTATTATAGTAGCGAATTTGCAACTGCACTTGATGTGTCACAGACTGTTCATTGTCGCACGCTTGCTTGGAGCCATTTTAGTGTCGGCAGAATTTGAGCGTGCTGAGCCGAAAACTTTTTTTAGTTTATTTTGGTACAGTCATTACACAGGTAGATAGATAATATAAAAAATGTATATAAGAAATATATATATAATAGAAAAATAAAAAAGATGTTTATTGTCTTGCATCACACACACAACAATATAATACAGTAAATGGATTAAAAGAGAGAAATGAAAATCAAAGAAAATAAAATAAAAACAAACAACAAGAAATTAAATTAAAAAAACAAACACGTGCGTACATAAAAAGAATATACTTATTTAATTATCAACAGCTTGTGTGTGCTGCAGCAAGCCAAATAGGTCGTGGCTCAGTGCAAAATTTGCCCAAAAGCAAAACACAGATTTTCAGCTACCACCTTCGAGGGTAGCGCGTTGCAGGTGTATCAAAAGCAAAAACGTTGTGAATAAAATATGCATGCATCCGGATGACTGCCACGCAGAGGTCCCAGGTTCGATTCCCGGGCCGAGAGAAATATTTGTATGGTCTACATTTATTTTTGTCGTGAGTTTGGGTGTCATTTGTGGTTGTTTATGTGTGTGCATGGCACCCCTATGGTTTCCCTTAGGCTATGTTGAGTGTGTGCGTTATTATTATTATTATATTATTGTATCGTCACTTTCCAAGAGGTGATGGGTACAGGTGACAATAAAAAAACTGATATGATCCTAAAATACGGCATTCTCGTCTCGGACACTCGTATCTTTTGATACGCGCTCGCCCCAATTTAGGTTACTTTTGACCTCTCTTAATTAAACATACATAAGTACATTCACTACACGCTCTTTTCCCATCGGGATAGAGAAAGATCACATCGTTCCACTTACCCAGAAACACATCTTTCGCCTCATCAACATCTCACATCAATGCATACATGTATCTATTTTATTATTTAAAGTATACGAATAAAATAATGTAAAAAAAAGTGAAAAATGACTGTTGATTATTTAATACGTTTTAATAATTTATTATTAAAACGTATTAAATACACACAATTTTATTTACTAATGTACTCTAAAATCCCATATGCGGTGGCAATGTCGATCTAATAGCATTTTCTCTTCTGGCATCGGCACTTGACTTGCTCGATAGTGATCTAAATATATGTTTGAAGACAACGTCAACTGTGCGATGCCAGATTTCCCATTGCGCCGCATTGGAAAATTCATCTCCATTGGCATCAGTGTTTTTATTTGAATCATATATTTGCATCACGAACTCGAACGCGAAAGGAATACCATGTACCTGCAAGAAATACTTTTGGTATTATTTGATATCACAATTATAGTTATCACAAGTACCAAAACGAAGTATGAGTATTTTCATGCAGATTGTTAGCCGGCGCCCACTGACGGGAATATACCTTAAAGTTATGGCAATATAGTTGAAATTTCAATGGTAATGGCCGTAACTACAAAAACAAAGCTGCGACATGCTTAGGGATTCCCAGCCGGCCGCCTCCCGCATGCCTCGGCCCTGAGGATGTTACGGCAACATTCGAGATGCTTCGGTAGGCTTCGACGCTCAGTGCGACTATGCTGGTATGTGGGGCAAAGACAGTGCTGTCTTGGGTGGGTCGTGGGTGCCCACGACCAGACTGATCTAAAGAGAGGCTGTCGCGACGGAATGCTGCGGCATGTTTAAAGATGCCGAAGGATCCCCTGTAGAGTAATCCTGTCAGTGAGCGCCAGGCCTAAAAGTTTTAACGAAAATGACAACTCGTTTAAGGAAATCTGCAGAAATGACAAAAGTTTTCCGAAGCACGTGTTTCTTACTCGTATTTAGTAAGTGGGTAAAAAGCAGGAAGGGACAACTTGTGCCTTTGATAAAATAAAGTGAAAAAATGTTATTATATATCTAAAGTGCTTTTATCACATAGATTTTCATGTAAATGTGAAATTTTACAAGTCTTTTATTCAAGTATAAAAAAGTCATCGTGTAATTTCGTTAGTAGAATCTATGAACCTCGTTCCTGAAACGTTGTCATTTTGCAGGTGAGGCTTTATTACACCAATGGCGCGAACTCTTGCCTTCTTCACTTGCTTTAACAGTGAAGAAAAGTATTGTAACGAATCCTGCGTGGCAGAGAAAGTTCATAGAATTCTTCGACGGTATGTGATGGCTCGCTCTTCTTAAAGGATACTTGTGTCCGGCCATGGCATATTTAGAAGATGCGAGTTCAACGAAAATAATAATAAAAAAGGATGTACATTAATTTGCTTCTCCGCAAATCAAGTAAAGTGTTACGCCATTCTACGAGGCACCCTTGGGAGTTGTTGATTGTATGACGCTCAATCGAAGACTAGTTATTTAACAATCAATTGAATTTATTAAATTATTATTTATTTAACAAGTGTTACACGACCACAGCAGAGTTCCTTTTGTGAATTCGGTGGAATAAATCTAAGGATCAAAACATCTTTTTAGAATCATTACATGATAATTGTGGGTACTATTACCGCATTTAGGTACCACATTATATGTTTATACCATAAAATTTAAAAAGAATAAAGACCACTGTTCAAAAAAGGAACATAAAATACAACTTACCGAGGTTGCATAATCCACACTAGTGCCAGTGACTTTTCCATACCAGTCGTTGAGAGTATTCGTAGATAAGGAAATCACCTTGAAACTGGCGTTCTTTATCATGTCATCGATATCGCTTTTCAGGTCTATGTATATATCGTCTTCAGCCTTGTCGTCTGTATACCCTTTTGGGTAGAGTAATGCGTCCCCCTGTACCAAAAAAGCACGCGATTAAACATAGAAATTGTTCATTTCGAGGCCTTACTTTCTCAAACACGTATCTTATAAAGAGTGATTATTCAGGAGTTGGCAAAAGTTCCTATTTATTTCAAATTAACACCCTTGATAAGAATTTTAAGGGTGTTAATTTGGATGCATTACTTTAAGAATAGGTAAAAACCAGTATGTGAATATGAAGGAAATGTGATGTGAAATCAATCTGCAAAATTTGTATGTACAATGCGTTTTTTGCATTTCAGTTCATTTGTGCTTTAAGATACGAGTTTGAGGAAATAAGGCGACGATTTGTTACTCACGATAGGACCAATAGAGGTAAAAATGGAGGGAAGGAGGGACTTTTGTAACGACCTAAAACAAATACAAGAACTTATGGTGACCCACCTTGTGGGGCCCTCTAGTAGTCGCTTCAACATTTTGTCCCATAATTTGCATTTTCCCCGACGCAAAAAGAGAGGAGTTATGAAGTTAAAGCCTTTGTAGGTCCCAAACGGACGACCTAATCTCAAAGCCGTTTTACTTTTTATATTTGAAGGCTGATTTGATCGGGTTTGTTCTATGTTTGATGAACATCTGCTTAACGGTTCAAAGATTATTATTTCTTTTCCCAGTTAGTTTTTAGCCATGCGGAGAATTTTTATTCAACTTTTGAATTAGGAGAATTTTAGAATTTAAGAAAAAATTTTAATGCATGACTGTCCTAGTTATTGACAATTAATTCACACCTGTAGAAAACAGTCACAATCAGGATTTATTTCAGTTATAATTTCCTATTTCATTTTGTATAACAGATCTCAGGGGCATCGCCACTGCACCCGTCACCTTGAGACATAAGTTGGCAAATTACATGTACTTCTATAATTTCACCAGCACCCTTACCCTTCAAAGCTGGAACACGGTAATGCTCACATTAATGCCTAGCGGCAGAAATAGGTGAGATGGCTGTACTGCAAGCTCTTTGTGAACTTTTCACAAAGAGTTTTATTGCTGCTAAAAGTACAACTAAAGCTACTGCTAGTGCTACTGAATCAGTAATCAATATGAAATCCGTTACCTTGTATATATGTTCGTGGAAGCCTCCGGAGTGCACATGAATATAAGCGGCAACCTTGTGACCTTGCTGACGAAGCACCTCTTTGATTGCTACGGTTTCTGGTTCAGAAAATGGATACTCTCCGGGAAATTGTTGGCTACAGGATTGCACAATATGCCCGCCGTTCCAAAAGACATCGAAATTGCGGTCCAGCGCGACGCCTGGGCATGCTTCTTGAGGTGATAGATTTTTATTCCAAAGAGGAACCTATATATAAAACAAGTAAAATCTAACTTTTGACTTTGAGACCTTTAAGATTTTGACACTAGCAATTAGAGCCGTTCATCGTGCATTATTTTAATTAACTTATATTGTAAGATAACAACGTCTGTATCTTGGCGTACCCTGTACCCTGGTTCTCAGAATGAAACTAATAAATTAGTCTGTGTGGTCTGGGTAGTATAATCAGCACTAGTAGTTTCCTAATTTGAAACCGTGTATTTCATAATGTTGGTGTGGCATATTATTATTTTCTGTTAACCTCAATTTTCTGGTCTAAAAATAAGTTGGTTTAAGTTGGTTGTAAGCACAGTAGTTTTAAAACAACGATAAAATGTCAATTGGCAAATAAATTACCTGATAACTATACGCCACTCCATCGGGATTAGCCATAGGTACAATGTAAATGTCAAATTTGTTTAAATGATTGAAATAAGATTTGAGGAGTTGTAGAAAATTTCTAACTCGTATCAGACAAGGCACATCTTTGAAGCCCATTACAGTTAAACCATGAACTATGAAAATTATTTTCTTTTCCGGAGTATCTTCAGAGTATATGTGTTCATCCTTTTTGGCTCGATAAGTTCCGTGGGGATTTTGCATATCAGCTGCTTTAAGAAGAACTATGTCCTTGTATTCAGTTGTTTTACCAATAGACATTACAGTCACATTGGTGTATTCTGCACTAGCCATCAATTTAGATAACTGACTTAATAGCTGAAACATTAGAAAGAAGAGAGAATTCTTATCTGGTTAGCGCAGCTTTATTGTTCCTTCGAATTGTAAACTGTAGTATAAGAACAAAAAAAATAAGTTTTTTGATAAGTGTTTTAAATATTACGTAGCCAGAATTACAGCAAAAGATAACATTGAATTCAATGTAATTATTCAAATTTCCAATTGGTGAACGTCATTAGAATGGTTTTGTATTATATATAGGGCGCACTATAAGTTTCCGGAACTGGCCACTTACAGAAACAATATTTAAAAAGGAATTACAACATTTGAAAATGGAACTCTATTGCTGTAGAATACAGTTTGTTTCATCTGACTGTCACTTGTTTTTACATTGTGGCGTCATTTTAGAAATTGGTTGTCTACATCACCATGGATTAAACTCGTGAAAATTTTCGTAGTATAATTTTCTACGACTTTAAGTGTAATGTAAGAGCTCAGCGGAGCTTCGTTCGGCTTCAAACTGCTTTTGGCGAAGAAGCACCATGCAAGACGGCTATTTATAGCTGGTTTGCAGAATTTAAACGCGGTCGTGTGAATCTCAGTGTCGAATTTCGTGATGGTCGCCCGTCCACTGCTGTGAACAACAAAAACATCGTTGCTGTGCGCCGTATGATCAAAATAGGCAGGCACGTGACATACCACCACGGGCATCTTTAGGCATAGGCATGAGTCAAATACAATCAATACTACACAAACATTTGGGTGTGAAAAACCTGTGCTGTCGGTGGATCCCACACAATTTGACTGACACTCAAAAAACGGATCGCGACACTTGGTGCAATGCCATGCTTACCATATACCAATTTGGTGTGGGACATAGTAACAGGTGACGAAACATGGATTTATAGTTACGATCCCAAAACAAAGCAGCAATCGAGCGTATGGCCATTTCGAGATGAGCCGAAACGAACCAAAGTGGCGCGCGTGCAATGTGCCTCTAAGCGGATGATTGCTTTTTTTTTTAATAAAACGACACGGCGTGGCTAATGTTGCTTTGGAGAATCGTTGTACCGTGAATAGTTATTGATACACGACCATTTGTTTGCGGGAAGTTATTGACAAACTCCGTAAAAATAACTGTAAACGCCGTACCATCTCGCACCACGATAATGCTAGTTCTCACACGGCCAGACAGACAAATCAATTTTTGAAGGTGAACAACGTTGACCTTATGAGCCATCCCGCGTACAATCCCGACCTGGCACCTTACGACTTTTATTTATTTCCAAAAATTAAGAACCACTTACGCGGTCAACGATTTTCATCACCAGAAAAGTCGGAGAGTATGAAAAATATGTTTCAGAGATTGTCACGGAGGAGTGGCATAAATGTTTTCAAAATTGGTTCATTCGTGTGAAAAAGTGCATTAACGCTAACGGAGAATACTTTGAGAACAATAAATTCATTTCTGACCATGACAATTTTTTTGTTATTGATTCCGGAAACTTGTAGTGCGCCTCACGTATCCAGTCCTAAATATAATGGGTTGGCCAAAAATTCCGTACAGTTTTTACCGCTAGCTAACTTTAAAATTTTTCGAGTTCTTAGGTTTTCGCGATTGTTATACATAGGAATGAAACTATTTTTCCGGATTTAAATCGCGTATATTTGTTTTTTCAAACACGGTTGTCAACCGTGACCATGGGACCTGTAAAGGGCCCGAAACGTCGGTTGACAACCGTGACCATGGGACCTGTAAAAGGCCCGAAGCGTCGGTTTGTTTGAAAAAACAAATATTCGCGATTTAAATCCGGAAAAATAGTTTCATTCCTATTTAAAAATTTTTTTTTCTTTTATAATGTTATCTATGATCGTCTTAAAAATAATATTTTACCGCGCAAGTTATAAGAATAGACAGCAAAGTTTTAAGTTTATAAGGCAGACTGCAAAGCCTCCAATGATAAGATTTGTGGTACCGGAAAGAATGTCATGTGAAATTCTTATAGTAAGCTTTTTAAAATTTAGGCGCCAACTTGGATATTAACCACGACCACGTCAAGAAAAACATAGTGTGGGACGCCCAGCGGCAAAATGGACGGACGGCCTGAGAAAAGTGGCCCGCAGCGGCTGGATGCGACCGCACAAAACCGGGAGAGTTGGCGTGCTCAGGGTGAGGCTTATGTCCAGTAATAGATGTGTGTAAGCTCATGAAGTTGGACCTCTTGTTGGCGCTAGACAGGTGCTTGGTGCGCTTCCACACAAGATCCCGTATTTTAAAATCGCATACACGGCGCCGAAGATTGTACCATTTACTATTTGTCTCATCGGATTACCCCATTCTCTTACGACATTTCCAACCCAAGGTTTCTGTAAATTTCGAACGCAAGTGGATCATTTGGTTTAAAGATAAGTTGTTGTTTCTCGACTAAAGAACAAGGCGGACGGTGTTTTTCCAGTTACCTTGTACAGGACAAGAGGTCCTAATTGCACGTCCAATGTTAGGGATAAACAGACTATGATTGTGTTTAATATAAGAGGCGATCGCCGCTCCAATTACTTTATTCACACGCACCACTATTCTCTTGATGTTGGCAAATTAAATGATTGATCAAACGCAAAACCGTACGTAAACATTACAAACTATTGCAGTTTGGTTGGGATGTACTTGGTACTTGGTGTAACGGGCTGGTGTCTGCAACTCGACGTCAAGGCGCCTATTTTGCGTGTTGGTTGGGATGTATTACCTCATTCAATATTAGCCCGACATAGCCCCGTCAGATTTTCACTTGTTTACAAAATTCTTTGAATTTACACGACTTTGATAATGAAAAGACCATGAAACGATACCTAGAACTGTATTTTATAAGAAAGGATTTTTTTTTAAAGAGAAATTCTAAAATTACATGAAATGGCAAAAGATTATAGATCAACATGGCCAATACATAATTGATTAAAGTTTGATTTTCATTATTTTAATGCTTTTCATTAAGGACACCTTCAAATTAGACGCTTGTAGAAGCACTGCAGGGGCGAGTCTGTGGCGCGGTCATTGCGCGGCTGACGCGCTACTACTAATTTTTAAACAATATAGTCCTCTTTATCGATTTCGATAACAATGACCCTTTGAGATTATTTCTTAGAGTGTGTCCTAATATGACTCGCTTCGCGCCGAATTGTGTCTTAAGTGCCCGATCACAAACAGAGCAATAAAATTGACCTGCAGAGTTGAAAGTATATGTATAGGCGGGCTTACGTCTCTCCGTACTCGTTTGGCGTTTTTCGTTTAATGTTTCGATTTGCTTTTGTTCGAATGTTTTTACATTTTATAGATACCTAGTAGACCGCCATGACGACCTATGTGGAGCGAGCCCCTAAGAACCTGATAGAATAGTAGCGCAAGCGTGTACATGTCTCTTGAGCACATCCATATAGCGAAGATGTTGACCACCATACTTCCGTCTAGTCTGCTAAAGTGGTGCGCTTGTGGCGACACACAGTGTGTTATGGAGACCATTTTTCGGACATGGCTTTTTTATTGCAAAAACCTACAGATCAAGTGATTTAAAACATTAGAGTAGAACTCCCGAGTGACAAATTTGCTTAGGTAGGGTAAAAATAATTTTTGAAATTTCGCATAATTTTTATCCGGATAAAGTGAAAAAAAAAATCCTACACTCAATTTAAAAATAATACATAAAAGTGGCGTATAAAGTTCGAAAGAACTTTATTAATATTACCTCTTACATTTTATATAAACCTCGTAACTTTCTTAGGTTTACTATGAACCGAACCAAATACGTATTTTTAAAATTTTCGTTTTTATTTTTTTCTCAAAAATTCCGCCGTATTGTGAAAAATTTATTACATCGACAGTGAGGTCTCATATTGCTTATCACCTCACAAAAAACAATTTAAATCTCGTGGAGTCCATAAGTTATAGAAAATTATTAAATTTTTTCAGGGATGTCACTTTTATATGAAACTTTCATATCCGGATATTATGAAACACAATAGACCTTTTTAAAAAAGAAATTACTAACTTTGTTCTTAAACATGAAATAATAAGTAATAATAATAAATATATGTTTATTACTCACCACAAAATACAAAACAATACAAATCTTAGTAAGCACATTACAGTAATATGTTGTGGGATCTGATGCTGGACGTAGGTATTTCACTTATATTACAAGTTATCTGGTCAGCCCTTGGATATTGAGATTAAACATTAGTAATAATAGGGAAATAGTAGGTAAATAAACTTATTGAAATAAAATAAAAATTAGGACTAGGCCATCTGAGTTAACAACGGGACCAAAGACAAAGATTCTAAATAGCGTGCAAAATGTATACCTGTTTTGGTGGGCGGGCAAAAGAGGATAAAATTAAATAAACAAAAACATTACAAAAGTTGAACCTCATTCTAGGTAATTTAGTACTCTTAGATTTTCATTTTAATGTTTTATCTCGAATATTTTATATTGAAAGTTCATATTCTTCACATTCTCACAAAAAAAAACAGATTCAAATTTCATGGAATTTAGTTTTTTCCAGATGGTAGTTTGAGGTACTTTTACATTTGTATTAATGTATTTCACAATATGCAACGAGATGAGTCTAAGTTTGTTGAAGAAAGATAAACAAAACATAATAGATAATTAATTCTAACTAACATAATATTTTAAGGTAAATTGTTACTAATCGTGTACTAATAAAACTATGAATGATGTGTGAAAAAAACAATATTTTATTTTATTTCATAATCTTCTTATTCAACACGAAATACCACACATTCTTCAAAACCAAACTTTTGTCAATCATCTGTACAGCTGCCGACTTCTTGAAGTGACTCTGGGTTAGCTAGTTGAGTTTGAGAAAAGTTTGGCGATTCTTATCATATACGGCAACTCGCGCAGTATTGCCATCACTTGTTGTACCGGAATTGGAACGAACAATGTCTACCAGCAAGCCAATTTTTTCCCTTACTTGCTTTTGAATAGCTTTTTTCTAGCATCTACGAGTCGCTTATATTCTAAATTCTTAGGTATTCTCCACATTTTAACGACTTTTTTATAAGCAAGATGTAAAAGAAATTCAAGCACCTGAAACCATTCATGTAGTGGACTCACAATATGGTTCATGGCGTCTTTATTTATTGGTTTCTCTAATACCATGTTGAAATTTTTAAACTGATTGATAGTTAGATTACAGTACGGATGATGCATTTGAGAAGAAGTATGTAGAATTATATTCAGTACTTTGCCGTCAATGGCAGCTAAATATAATTCGCATGACACTTTTATTTCATGGCCTTTAGATGTTTCCTCCAACAACGGAGTTAGATCACGAATTTCAGATTCTACTCTTAATTTTTCTGACAAGGTCAACTCTTTTGTTTCTTTTCTGTATTGCACACATAATGGTGTACAATACCGATATGATTGTGGGGCTGGATCCTTCTAAAGATAGTCGTTGTTAACAGTTTTCAGCACCAACAAAATATACATAGTAACTATGAGACTATTTTCTTCGCTACCTTCAACATCAGAAAAGGCCTGTTTGTAAAGCACCTGTCCAGTACTTCCATCGAACCCCTAGTTTCCTCCCAAAGTACATTCTAATTCTTTTAAAGCATTTTGCTCGCAGTACTGTGTTATAACTTCATCATTTAATTTCAATATCTTCTCAAAAGTGTGTTGCAAAAGATTCTAGAACGGAACTGAAGCTTCTCTTTCTGATATTGTAATGTCAGCCGAGTAGCAACTGTTTCTTGCCTCTTGTACCTTGTAGTAAGGCGGAAATGCAGGAAACCCACGTTCTAAGAGATCTAACCGCAGAAATTTGTAAGTCTCAACTGAAATTTTTCAATCAATAATAACTGCTAGCGCTTCATCCGGAGTATATGGTTGGGTAGAATGTTAAATTTTTTTTTAAACCGTCGTAGGCGCATTTTCTTTTTGTAAACATGTTTGAAGCACCTTTTATAAGTCTCTGGCTGATTTGCTTTTAAGGGGTTCACCATCGGCGAAATGGAACTTTAACAAAAAGCCTTACGAAGGTGGACCCATTCTTATGCCGCAGTTAACGTGTCTCCGGGATTAATAATAATAATAAAATAATTTAATCTTAATTTTACAAGATTCACCCAGATATTTTAACCGATCGAAAAGTGACGACCCTAACGACGAAAATTCCTGATATAACTAAAACTGCCAATAACTTCTAGACTCCACGAGATTTAAATTCAGTTTTTTGTGAGGTAATAAACAATATGAGACCTCACTGTTGATGTAAATAACTTTTCCCAATAAGGAGGAATTTTTGAGAAAAAAAAATAAAAACGAAAAATTTAAAAATACGTATTACTACCTACGTACTTAAGAAAGTTATGAGGTTTGTATGAACTGTAAGAGGTGATATTAATAAGGTTCTTTCGAACTATATACGACACTTCTTTGTATTGTTTTTAAATTAACTGTAGGAATATTTTTTCACTTTATACAGATAAAAAATATGTAAATTTCGAAAACTATTTTTACCCTAACTAAGCAAATATGTCACGGGAGTTCTACTTTAATGTTTCAAATCATTAGATCTTATAGGCTTTTTGAATAAGAAGCGGGTGTCCGAAAAATGGTCGCTATAACACACTGTGCGACAGTGCAGCGCTTCTAGAAGCGTCAAATTTGAAGGCTTATATATACTATATATACTTTGATACCACACGGACCTTTTGGTCAACCCAACACTAAGGGAGGAAAATAAAATAAAATATTCTATCAATCTATGTTAAAAATTGATACTCACAATATAAGGGTTAAGTGTCTCTAGTTCAGTTTTATATTCACCAAGCGTGTTTGCAGTATGTGTTATATATTCTGCAGCTCTGTAATAATTGAAATAAAATTTATTAACTAGAAAAAGACAAACCTCATATATGTGAAGACAGGTTTCGTTACACAAACAAAAGACGCTGCTTGTTTTAAGTAAGATATTTTGATAATGATTGGAATCGTTGATAACGACTAAAACTTAATACATCGTAAAATGCGAAGGCATAAATGAACAATCATGTAATAGAATCTCATTGATCATTAGCCTGCATCAATAAGGCAATATTTTTTCCAGAGACAGCCATTTTCCTGGGGACTAATTTGATGCATGTGAGGATTCGTAAAATGCGTGCAAACCGTAAAAATTGCTTGTAATTATAATTTAAAAAATCTTACTTAGTAGATCCACCCAGTTCGTCATTTCCTTTTTGCTGAGTCAAAATTGAAGGTCTTCTCGGCGAACTGAAAAAATACATACATATATCTTAAGAATTAATAATTCGTAACGTGGAAGTACAGCATAGAAATTGACAGTAAAATGAGTTCAGTTTCACTGTGTCCGTCCAAACATTAGGTATGCAAACGTGTTAAAAAAAAAGTACTTGCTTATGAACAAGCATTAAATAATAATAAAAAAAAAATTTTATTACTATTCTCTCAATATCATTTGAACGGAAAAATGAATGTAATTTGTCAGTCTATAATTTAAAAGCGAGGTTATTGAGTTAGGCTAATATTGATAAAAATAAAAATTTCAGATATAAAATGTTGATTATAATACTGTATTAGCATCAATACTGGTTAACGATAATTGTGATCTGACCGAAAAATATATACGGACTTATTGTAAAATACTAACAACCTCACAGGACTATATTAAATATCCCTGTATTATACAAAAGTCATTAATTTTATGTCATTGAAGTTAAATTTTGAAAATATCTTATATTGTAAAATTAATTTCATTGATCTATAAATTGTTTACTAGCTTTATAACATTTTATTGCAAAGTTTTCCTGCAACGTTTTACTGCAACTAAATACACAAAAGTCTCTAGATTATTTTGTCATCGATGCGTAAACCCTTGGAACTTTGTTGTATGTGTCTCACCGAAGTGTATCCCTTTGTGTTTTGCATTTGTTTTGTTAGCTACATTTCTCAATCGATTTTTTAATTACCTTCTTTTCCATTCCATTAATTTGTTGTTTATCGCATTTTCTTTGACATACATATTCATGTCATATCATATTACCTTTTATAGATATCTACAAATGGTAATATGGTGCTTTAGGCATGTACACAATAATTTTATTACGGAATAATAATCTCATATTTCGTTTCAGTTTTTGTTTCAATTGATTCTATTAATATTGGTGTATATGCTATCTTTTGAATATAATTTTTATCACGTTATGTATGTTATAGACGTTGTAGGAATTAAGTTTGTCAAGCAATGTGTGCACGTAGTCATAAGTTTTGGCATAACCAAATACCAAGCAAAAGCTGGTTGGATTTATTTGGTATGTGTTGTATGTCGTCCATCTTTGTGTGTAACCATAATATAATGTATATCTATACATTACAAATTCTTTTGTTCCATTATCTATATATAATATATAAAGTATTTAAAAAAAAATCTCTAGAAGCACTTTCATCTTTACAGAAATCTTTAGGAATCAATTCCTTTCAATATAAGCGCACAAATTGTCATGAAAAAGAATTGTAATATTAAGTTTATTGAAAATCGCGATGTTTTACTATCATAACATTCAATTCTTTTTTGTGTTATTACTCCACTCGTTTGTTAAGGACGAACATTAAAAAAAATTCCTTCGATCCGGCTGAACTTGGACCAGAGACCTCATCGTACCATGGTTTAACTGAATTTCTCGAACATTTTGGGAAAATCGGATAATAGAGTTACAGGTATATGATCCATTGGGCTCTTTATCGTATATAGTAATTACGTGACAATCACCATTTTACCATTATTGTTGTTATTTTCTGTAAAATTCTATAAACAACAAAATATAAATTTCGAATTCAAGTCGGATTTTTCATACAAAATGTGTTTCCGGTAACGGTTACGTAGCCTGACATGTTGGTAAATGCACTGAATGCTGCACATACCTATTTTATATAGTTAGTTATAAACAATTTTACCTGATTTTGGCATTTGGCTGGTAGCGCCATAAATTCAACATTAGCAAATTAGAAGTTACCCAATAACAAAGTATTATTCCGAGCCGATACAGAAAAACAAAGTGCATAAGTTAACACAAAATTACACTTGGTGGTTATTTTCTATTGGCGTTTCCATCTTGTCCATTTTCTTGACTTTGTTATTATTAATTTTTTTATTTTCTTTTTCCCTTTATTCTTTCTAGACTAAGACATTTCCAATCCTTTTATTTCTGCCGTGCGTCTTCACTTCTTTAGTGGGCTCATTATTCATTTGTCTACACCGATAAATGTCAAACTTCTTTGATGTTTCTATTATCTTTTTTCTTATGCTTCCATTTTACGATTTCCATTTCCAGTCCAGAGGGCATTATTTTCATTAATAATATACAAACAATGATCTTATATAACAAATAAACTATACTGTTACTATGCCAACCCGTATAAGTCTGACGTTGGTTGGGGAAAAAAAGAAAGATCAATATTCGTCGAAAAACACGGTTTACATAAATTTTGCCTTTTCACTGATAAGCAGGTTACTTCAAGATGTAGTCAAAATGTCAATCGTGTAGTCAATTAGAATTATCTTATCAGCTTAAAATTAAAAAATCTGGAAATCAAATCGGATCGAACACGTGAGAAACAGGGTTGTTTCAATCACGCTATCACGGCACAATATATACTTACAAACAAAAAGCGCTGCTTGTTTCTGGTACCATATTTTGCTCGTAGCCGCGAGAAGTTGTTGGCGAGAAGGATCCATACACTACTATACAACTAAAAACGCACACTTTATAGTGTGCATTTTTGCGAAGAAAAAATTCGAAGACGTGAAATAAAACCCCATTTTGCATTTCTTTGCACCTATAAGGCGATGTAACTGTTTTCCAGTGGACTGAGTGCCACTGTGATACGCGGGCAATGCGTAGAAAATGCTTGGTATTTGAAAAGTATAAAAACGTGAGAAGAAAGTGCAAAAACTCGATAATATCCTCGGCGTATTGAAATAAATTCCTAGGATAATGTACTATATACAGATAAATAAATCTACTCGCGTGATTAGAAAAGACGTGACTGGTATTTACCATTTTTTGTTATTATCAGGGAAATTCTCGAATAAAGTAAAATTAGCTTACCGTTGACAACGCGTCCTACGTCAGAAGATGTACCGAATGTTACACATGGGGACGTAATAATTAATTCAGGGTCGAATCAATATTTACCTGATATTCTTACTTAGTGGTTGGTGGCTAGAAAATAAAAATTCATCATAAGCAAATGAAAAGTTTAAAATGTGTGACCCTTAACAAAAAATATATCGTCATACAGTAACGTTAAGCAGTATTTTGCTTTGTTCCTTACACGTAGCACAATTACACGTTTCGGAAAATAAAAACATACGTCCGGAAAAATTACCACAAAATTAATTCACTGATTATTTTCAAATATCCATTTTCTTGTCTTTAAATTTATCTCTTTGTCTGTGTACTTACTTTATTTTTCTACTGTTTTATATTTATTATCTCCACACTAACGCTTTTCCTTTTCATTTTCTTTTGTTTATATCGTGCTTGTTGAATAAAAAAGAAGTAATATACATACTGATTTTAATGAATATCATGATTTTTGCTACCATGGTATTCATTTATTAATTGTGAAATACCCCACGATCACAATCATAATTAGACGTCCAAAATGGATGATCGAGCAAAAAAATACATTTGAAATGGTAGTTTCGTATTTTTGACGATAATTAATATTTAAAACTCTTTTCAAGCTGTAATCTGATAAAATTTAGAACAATTCACATTTTGAAATATATACGTATAGTTTTATTCAATTATGTTCCTTCTCCTAGCGTCGTATACCTCATTACTAAGGGTCGTGACTTCGACCTGATAGGACACTATGAGAGTCCATTTTCCGACAGACTGATGTGATAAGTGGGATTTTATTTTATTTATATTTATTTCAGTAACTATAACAGAATTTACATAGATATAATATAATTTGCACAGTTGTGAATAAAATCAATTTTGGTTTTTGTGACATTTGCACATACAATACGTAGAAAATTGTATAAAAAACGTAAATCATCGCCAAGGTCGGTTACCTAGTGCTAGCCTGCTGTCTTTCTTCTTTCTCTTTCTGGTGACTCAAAATTGAAGGTGTACTTTGCCCACTGAAATAAATATATAGAATAATGTACTCAAACCTTAAAAAATCACATCTCGTAACATAACATGGCATCATGTACCATATTTCTTTACTTTCAAGAAAATTCTGTGATCAAATTCGTCCGAATTCAAATCGTATTTTACATACAAAATGGCTTTCTATTGATAGTTGCGTAATGTCGTACGTCGGAAGACACACTCAACATTGCAAATAGTTATTTCATTGAGGGTTGAATCATTATATATACCTCATTTTGTTACTTAGTGGTTGGTGGCTGTAAAAAGTTAAGATTACCGAATAAAATGTAACTTAATATCAAGTTTTTAAGAAAAGATATCCCAATATCCTGATACAGAAACTGTGTACGTTTCTAGTTTGCTCCATACACGTTTTCAGTAGCAGTATAGGTCCTTGTGAAAGAGTTCGTCCAGGGGAGTACTGCCACCTTGCCTATTTCTGCTGCTAAGCACTAATCTCAGCATTACTGCATTCCGGTTTTGAAAGATACGAGTGCTGGTGAAATTATAGGGACTTGTCAACTTAACGACAACTTAACTAATGTGTGACGGGCGCAGTGGCAGTGCCTCTCAGATCTTCACGATTTAAAGCTCCGAGTGGCATTGCAACTGTTATGGACATGCGTGCTTGGCTTACCATCAGGCACACGACTTGTTCGTCACGTCACTAGATATTATAAAAAAAAAGTATAATATAATATCTTGTTGTTCTTTAAGCCCCTCTTGGTCTTTCAAAACTGAAGCCCACAGCTCACTGACATAAATATATAAATGACAATGTACTCGAAGCTCATATATGCGAAATCGCAAGACGCAACACGTCATAGTCATCATTTTACATTTTTTTGTCATTTTAAAGAAAGTCCCACCACTCAGCGCACAAAAAAATTGTCAGAGTTCGATTTACATTTTTCGTACAAAACGGCTTTCGTGATACTCACGTAAGGTAGTAGTAATTTGAACTTATTTGTTGCACGTACTTTTTTAATAGAAAATTTCTTTTTTTTTTATAATACCAAGTGACAGGTCAAACAAGTCGTGCGGCTGGTATTAAGCCACGTACTAGTTACACTGTCACTTACAGCTTTAATCTCAAATATCTGTGGGGCGCTGCCACTGCGCCCCGTCACCCTGACACGTAAATTTGACAAGTCCCATGTGCCTGTAATTTCACCAGCACATTTACCCTTCAAAACCGGAACGCAGTAATGCTCGCATTACTGCTTGGCGGTAGAAATAGGTAAGGCAGTACTACCCTGGACGAAGTCTTTCACTAGGAGAGCTTTACTGTTAAATTACCTGCTATTGTTGTTTGAGAGTTCGCGGCTAAAGAAACAATGAGAATGTCTAATAGATTTTTGTTGCTCGCACGAAGTTCCACACTAGAAGCGTAGTTACCTTACACGTTTCAAAATAATAAATCAGAAAAAAATTGCAAAAATCTGCAAAAAAAAAAAAGAAAAAATTGCTCATACTGTGATTGTTGAGTGTTGTCTATTTTCTCGTCTCTCAGGTTATCCCTTTGTCGATGTTCTTCTTTTTGTTTTTCATTGTCTACGATTTGATTATTTAGACTTTGCAAATTAAGTGTTTTTCTTTTAATCTGCTGTTGTTTCTGTAATGGTTGTTTCGTGTTTTTGGCGTATTCGTCATTCATTTCGCTACGCCGATGTACGACGGTACTTCTTTGGATTTCATGGCCTTTTTCTGTTCTGTTAGCTCTAACGCTCTGTTCGCTCTCACTTGCTACGTTTACGATTCCAATGTGATTGTTTAATCTGTTTGGGCTGGAATCATTCATTAGCTTTTGTCATGGCATTAGTTTCGTTAAAGATATACGAGAACTCGTATAGGGCCAACCAATATAAATCGAATTACTAGACATAGGCCTAGTCCACGCTAGCCTCATGCGTTTGGGAAATAGAAAAAAAGTTAAAATATAATATATTCTATCATATTTTTATTTACACAAGACATGAATTTAAATAATCTCAGTACTAGAGTACTAAAAAAACCGACCTCAAAAGTTCGTGAAATTACATCTATTTGCCAAGTTTTATTGAAGTCGGTTACCGGGAAGTGCGCAAAACCGGTTTCATTCCCTAATTTACCACCGTTAGAGGTGTAATTTAAATGGGACCACTACGGAGGTACCTTCTTTCTAACAAAAAAAGAATCATCAAAATACAAAAAAAACATACAGTCGAACTGAGAACCTCCTCCTTTTTTCGTAGTCGGTTAAAAACTTGCGTATGCGGGAATTCGAACTCTGATTTCTTGCTTGTGGGGCAAGGGTTCTTTCAACTACGATGCTACTGCTGTAACTGGAAACAAAAATGCTTACAATTTCTGTTAAGATATTTAGTTGTAAAAAAGAAATAGCAACTGCGATTAAATGGATGTAAATAGGACCTCATATATTGTAGTAAATTAGGAGACGTGTAATAGAAAAGGAATCATTTTTCAATGAACTGATGTCTGATATGACTCGTGCAATAAATACTTAGGAAATGCTTGAAACTTTATTAAAAATGTAAATAATTGCCGGCTTACCTAGCATTACCTAGTCCTTTTTCTCCCGCTTGCTGATTCAAAATTATGGGTGTTCTCAACACACTGAAATAAATTTTATACAGACCAATGTACTTCTAAAATTCACCACCATCAACCCATTACTGCCTCAGTAGCCGAACGGTTATCATGCTGGGCTGCCACGCAAGAAGTCTAGGGTTCTATTCCCGAGCCGGGAGAAATATTTATAAGACCTACATTTATTTCTCTCATGAGTTTGGGCGTAATTTGTGATTGTCTATGCGTGTGTCCATGGCACCCGCGACACATGTCTATCTATGGTCTCCTTAGTGCGGGGCTTCATAATTAGTGCGTACGTTATTATTTATACATCCCCACTGCTGGTACGAGTCTCCTCTCAGGTGAAGGTTTAGGCCATAACCCGCCACCCTGGACCAATGCAGGCGGGGACTTCGCACTTTTCCGAGGATTGTAAACCTTCTTCGATTTACAGATTTCTTCTCGATGTTTTCATTCACCGAAAAGCTCATGGTAAATTTCAAATTAAATTTCGCACATAAATTTCGAGAAACTCAGATGTCGCACATCTCCAGCTCCAGGTTCAAACCCACGGCCCCTGCTTAACAGGCGGTAGGTCAAAACCTTTATATATATTCTTAATTTTTTTTTTAATTCTCATATAAATAAAAACACGTGACTCAACACGATATGACTCAATTCTAACCATTTTTGTAATTTAAAGTTTTATTGAATTGTTATTCAATTATTTTTTAAGTGAAATTACTCCGCTAGTTTGTTATAAATTATTAATACAAAAATCGAACACGCAGAAAAATTTCCTTCGATCCGGCCGGATTCGAACCGACGTCTTCTAGCAAACCGTGCCAGACGCTATGCCAACTAAGCACGGAACGAATCAACGGACCTCACGATTTTTTATAAGTTATAAGCTTGTTATTGTATCTTTGTATGTGATTTTTCAATACGTTGAATCTCTTCACACCACGCACGAACAAAATCAACTAAGTTGAGTTTAAAGGTTGTATAAATAAATAAATAAATTGTAGAAATAAGGACTGAATGTTGCACATAATATATTACAGAATTAGATTAATTTACCTGATATTATAACTTGATTTTTGACTGCTATAAAAATTAAAAAACACCATTAGACATTATATGGTATTAAACTCGATAAAAAATCTACAAAATTATTTGTACAGTTTGTCAGTAATTGTACAGTGCTTTGTTTTTTGCTCGTAAATTGCAAGCTACATGCAAAATACGTGTCAAACATAATGGTAAAGTTGTTGTAAATTATAATGGTAAAAATAATCAGAAAATTGTTCATACAGTGCGCGTTTTCCAATAACATTTATCTTGGCCATTTTCTTGTCTCTCAGTTTATCTCGTTGTCTATCTATCTCTTTTTGTTTTTCTTTTTCTACTGTTTTACTCTTTATTTTTTGTGGATTGAATATTTTCCTTTCCATTTCCATTTTTTTCTGTCGTGCTTGTTCCGTTTTCTTGGCGAACTCGTCATTCATTTGGCTGCGCCAATAAACGTTTAAACTTCTTTGGTTTATTTGGCTTCTTTCAACCCTGTTCGTTCTGTACCTCACTTCTCTTGCGTTTGCATTTTTAAAAATTAGATTTTGTATGTCCGAACTTTTTGTGGAATGTACGAGTGAATAGGGCACCACTGTTCTAGTTACATCCAGATCTCCAATCATTCTGTATGGACGCCTGGAATGATAGAATATGAATAATTGTATAACTATATAAATATAGGTCTCTACAGAAATGAAGTAAATAGTATCATGGCTATATTGCATCAATTCTTCGTTATGGATTGATTATCTGGGGCAATAGCTCTTACGTCAAACGTGCATTTGTAGCCCAAAAGAAATGTATACGCGCAATGTGCGGCATTGGTCCACGAGAATCATGCAAACCACTGTTTGGTGACTTAAACCTTCTGACACTCCCTTGTATGTACATATTCGAAGTTTGTAAGTTTGTCAAGCAGCATCCACATTTATTCAAAATAGCCATTCAAATAAACCCACGTGCAAAAAGAAACCCTAATAGACTTGTTATAGACCATGTACCTAGGACTACTCTTTACCTAAAAAGTCCGTACTACACATGTATAAAAATTTATAATAAACTACCCATTGAAATAAAAAAACTGACATATACACAAATGACTATAGAATTGTACAAATGGTTAGTTGTAAAAAAAATTTACAGTGTGAATGAATTTGTAATTCTTGACATATATATATGTATTTCGTTTTTGTAACTTTTGACATATTTTTTTTTATAATTCTTGAATTTTTATTTTTATTATTATTTTAATTCTTGACATACTTAATCTGTGAAAATTGTGACTTATTTATTTAAAATTGTAATAGTCAATCAAGATAATATTATTAGATATTTGCATGCTATCGGATATGCGAAACATGTTTATACTGGTTTTCCTTTTTTTTTTTTGCTACAACTTTTATAACATGTTTGAAGCAAATAAACAATTTGAATTTGAATTTGAAAAAGTAATAAATCGGCGCCTTACTTTCTCAAGCTCGTATCTTATAGCACAAAGTTACTGCACTGCAAAAAAATGGATTGTACTCGTATATACAAATTTTGCAGGCTGGTTTCACATCACATCTTTATATTCACACACTGGCATTTACCGATTCTTAAAGTAATACATCCAAATTAACATACTTGATTAGAAATTTAAAGTAAATAGAAAATATTGCCATCTCCTGAATAATCACTCTTTATAAGTTACTAGTTTGAGACAGTAAGGCATCGATTTGTAACGTGGTTGTTCAAAAAGGCGTTTATACCCATGTCGAAATCTTAGTGTTAATGTTATCAATAAGTGAAGCTGATTGAGACTTGTGACTTGAGACTTAACAGTATAAGTCAAAGTTTAAATTTCTTTAAATTAAAGCTAGCAGGTTACGGAACAATAGTTGTTATTTATGATGGCAGGACTATGTTACTAATACTAGTAATATAGACCTGCGAGTTTGTTAGTATTTTATAAATAACGCATGCACGTTAAGAGACACCCCGATTTACCAACGCACGCACAGCGGCCACAGCGACGGCCGCGCGACGGCGACGTAACACCAGCGCGGCGTATACTCGACGTTTGGCGTTATTCCGCAGTCGCCCTGTGCTGGCGTTGGCAGGACGCTAACGCTCGAAAGACGCTAGTGTGGGGGTCTCTTAATTATGTACTTACCTCAATTCATTGTAATCGCAATTGACTGAAATAATAATATCATTTTTAAGATAACAATCAATAACTTGTAATTAACTTTATTTACCATCATGGTATTGCACCGCCATGATAGTGAATAATTTTTTTGTAAAATGACTCCACTAGTTTGTAATAATTATTACTACAAAGATCGAAAACTTAATAAAATTTCCTTGATCCAACCAACCAACCATCGAACCAACGTCTTCTAGCAAACTGTGCCAGATTCAATCAATAACTTTCTTCTAAAAAGAAAATTAACACTTAACGAAGATTTGTAAAGAAAACGTTGTTTCTAGGAGTTGAGTAAGGTACTTAATTTACGTAGTAATTACGTAGACGATAATATACCTAGGCAAGATGTGAAAGGAATGTTGTAATAATAATAATAAGACATTTATTTATAAGCACATTTACAATAAAATGGTTAACAATAAAGAGTTTCGAAAATGAGGAGTCTAGTGCCAATGAAAAGGATGGAACCTCAGCACTACTGCTGCTTTTCAGGTTCCTCCTTCATACATGGATATCCGCTGCTGACTATTGACAATAATCACAGGAATTACATTTAAAATTTATAGGACATGCATAAAATGAATTTATTTTTTCGCTGAGCACACGATACATGTAAAAGAACATTAAATACCAGATACAAACTTAAAATAAAGAAACTTAAAACAAAGAAACGATTTGCTACGTTATAGAGCAATTACGATAACAATTAATTCCAGCAACATTGTGATTTTTGTATGTTAAGTAGCCATTGCTTACACTTTCTTTTGAAAGTCTGCAATGACTGGCTAAGTGTAATCGAGGGTAGAATGTCATTCCATCATTTAGACGAAGCAAACCGAAAGCTTCCCGTGAAGGAGTGTATCCGAGGAAACGAGCGACATTGTGACACTGGGTAGCGCGTTGACCGAGTCTGATCCCTCTCTCTGTCATTCCAGCACAATTTATTCGCCAAATATTGAGGTACACCGTAATATCTCAGGTCAAATATCAGACAATTCAATTTTAAACGACGCCTATGGACATATTTAAATGGCCAAAAGAATTAAGAAAAGGGTAATATGGGAGCGTGGAGGGACTGTATAGCAAAATCGGACACAAGAATTCTGAACCCGCTGAATCTTCTTCTCCGTTTTCCTCAATAGACATGGCCCGTAAACTACGTCGCAATAATCCAAATGAGACAATACTAGGGCATCGGATAGTCTAAGCCGCACGGACGTGTTTAAAAATAGTCTTAGCTTGTATAGCTGTTTTAGCGCTAAATAACTGGTGGCAATTTTACGATCAACATGTTGCTCAAATTTAAGTGCGCCATCCATTACGAGGCTTAAATTATTCATATTAACAGATTCGTTAATTTGATAACCCGCCATCATAATTTTCGGATTTACGCTATGCACTGACTCTATCTGATGCCTAGTACCGATGACCATGTAAGAACACTTCCCAGCATTTAGTAATAGTCCATTTTTCTTTGACCATTCAACTATGGACTCAGATCTCGATTGACCATCTCTATAGACTGACCATATGACAATGACCATGACAATGACCATTGTACAACCATATCCTATTGGGGTGCACGAAAGGAGTCTCCCCGCACGACGTACCATATCTTGCCTGTACGTCTGGCGCACCCTGGACAAGAATTGACCACCGTGGCAAGTATTATAGTGTATGCTATCGATAAAAGAAGAAGAAGATTGAAAGTGTTTTCTATATAAAAAAATAATAAGTGCGCATTTGACCTCCAACTCATGCAAAATGACGATGAGGTGGACGATGTAGCATGCACAACAATTTTTTTTATATAAACCAAGTGACGGTACGAATAAGTCGTGGACCTGGTGGTAAGCGACACGCCTGTTCATAACAGTTGCAGTGCCACTCAGAACTTTAAACCGCAAAGACCGGAGGGGCACTGCCACTGCACCCTGAGACATTAGTCGACAAGTCCCATGTGCCTGTAATTTCACCAGCACCATTACCCTTCAAAACCGGAACGCTATAATGCTTGCTTTACGGCAGAAATAGGTAAGATGGCAGTACTTCTCTGGACGAATTATTTTTTTTGCAAGGAGCTCTACTGCTACTCTGACATGGAGGTATTTTAGTCGCTGTTTTCTCGTGGTCCCACTAGTGGGATCACGAGGAAACAGCGACTAAAATAATAATGCCTGTTCACTCTCGCCTTGAACAGGCCCAAGTTATAGCGTTAACGACCAAGGAGAAAATTGGCTGGAACCACCAGATAAACGAACAAAAGTTTTTCTAATACTTTATCATACAATATAAAGTTGTGAGACTTACCGTTACTAAAACCTCGCAAATATAAGACTAAAATTGATGGTAACAAACCAAAATATATTGATTCATGATGATACATATCCAAATGTTATTTTCAACTACCACGGAACCAAAATGTAATATACGTTTTCATATATTCTACATAATATACTCAATTTTATTGTTTTTTTATTATTTTCACATTTGATAAGTTTTAAATCTCAAATATCCATTTTATTTATAACAGCTATCGTATATAAATTTACATAGGGCGCACCATAAGTTTCCGGAACTGGCCACTTACATAAACAATACTTAAAAAGTAATTACAACATTTGAAAATGGAACTCTTTGGCTGTAGAGTATAGTTTGTTTCACCTGATTGTCACTTGTTTTTACATTGTGGCGTATTTTAGAAATTGGTTGTCTACATCACCAAGGAAGTAACTCGTGAAAATTTTCGTAGTATAATTTTCTACGACTTCAAGTGTAAATTAACAGCTTAGCGGAACTTTGTGGTTCACACTATCGTGGTTTTGTGGAGGTGTTTGAGAGTGCTGATGAAGAGTGACGGCAGAAATGTAAAGTTGTCTAACTGTTAATAGCTTCGACTCTTTGTACAGACGTTAGGTTGGGAATAATTTGGGTTTAAAAAAGCAGATTTTCAACAACATCCTTTGAGCTCTTTCCAATTTCAGTAATACAGTTTTTGCAGCACCACCCCATGTTCCAATGCAGTATGTCAGAATAGATTGTACAAGAGCCTGATACACCATTATTAGAGTATCCTTGTCTGCCACATGACTGAAGTACTTGAACAAATACGAAAGCTTCCTAACTCTTTGGGATAAGGTATGAATGTGGTTCTTAAATGTAAGGTTCCTGTCGATGATAACACCAAGGTACTTCACACTGTCAACCCTCTCTATACAGTGGCATTGGCATGGGTGTAAGATATTGAAAATACATTTGTAAGCTGTAAGAGTCATTGAAGGAGGACAATAGTTTTTATTATTTATTGAAAAAGCTATGTACTTTGTTTTTAAGTGGATGATTGCTTCTTTTTTTAACAAAACTGGACACGTGGCTACTGTTGCTTTGGAGAATCGTTGTACCGTGAATAGTGATTGGTACACGACCATTTGTTTGCCGGAAGTTATTGACAAACTCCGTAAAAATAACTGTAAACGCCGTACCATCTCGCACCACGATAATGCCAGTTCTCACAAAGCCAGACAGACAACAATTTTTGAAGGTAAACAACGTTGACCTTATTAGCCATCCCGCATACAGTCCCGACCTGGCACCTTGTGACTTTTATTTATTTCCAAAAATTAAGAACCAGTTACGCGATCAACGATCTTCATCACATGAAGAGGCTGTCGAAGAGTATGAAAAATATGTTTCAGAGATTGTCACGGAGGAGTGGCATAAATGTTTTCAAAATTGGTTCATTCGTATGAAAAAGTGCATTAACGCTAACGGAGAATATTTTGAGAAACAATAAATTCATTTCTGACCATTTATAGTATTTTCTTATTCATTCCGGAAACTTATAGTGCGCCTCACGTACATTCATCGTTTTTCGAACTTGTGCGGGTTAAGTCTTTAACTTTAGAAATGCATCTCTATGCCCTGCCCTTGCCCATGGGCAATATAATATAGTTAGATAGATAGAAAATTGTTCATGGTTAGCACCAGACACATAGAGGGATTACAAGATAACAATTAAACACATTAGCATGGTAACAATTGGAGGTCTTATCACTTACACAGACATATAGAAATTATTAAACAACACGTTACAATTATATATATACAGGGTGTCCCAAAACTCAACGTCAAGCGGTCACTGGGCAAGAGGCCAGGTTATATCAGTTCTGGTAAAAATTAAAAAAAAATCCATGTCACTTAGTTAAGTGATAATAGGCATTTTTTTGAAAATATTGAAAATCGATACCTCTAGGGTATCGATTTTGTTTGTTTATATGACACATGTTTAGGTACTGTCATCACAAATTTTCAAATTTTGGAGTGATTTTTTTGTAACGTCATCATAAATAACCATGCTATTTATTGCAGTCACAAATCAAACAATAAACGTTATGAATTTAGTAAAAAAAAATAAGTTTCATTGAGTCGTAGCTTAAAAAAAATATGTCAGCTAGCTTTGACACTTCATTTTTTTTTTAAATGTACTACACTACCCTGGGCAAGTTATTTTAAAAGATGGCCCATATAATCAAGATTTCAAAATGGTACAATACTTGCCACTCTTCATTCCATAAAAAATATTATAACTTATTTTTTGCAAAAGGAGCTCGTTTCAAAAAAAAACTCATGCCATGATAAATAATATTTTTGTGTGGTCAAAGATTGGCTTTAACATCGTGGAAGTGAGATGGTCACATGTGATAGAGTGTGGAAATAATGCCTATTGCTGTGCTGTGCTGATTATAAATAATAATAATAATAACACAAATGCAGTAGGCGGTCCTGCTGAATATGGTACGTATTGTACGCCGGTTCTTGAATCTGAGTCCCTGATCCCGGCCGACTGTGCCAACCGTAATACCGCCTCTCCCATTTTAAAATTCGAAATACATCTTTTAGCCCTCAGGAGAGTCTAAAATAAATATCCATAGTAATAATAATAACGTACACACTCATAGCCCCGTAATAGGGAGACTCTGTGTCGCGGGTGCCATGGACACACACATAGACAACCACAAATTACGCCCAAACTCACCAGAGAAATAAATGTACACCACGTTGCGGATACCAACTCGTTACTCCAAGTACCAAGTACATGTAGGCCATACAAACATTTCTTCCGGCTCGGGAATCGAACTGAAGACCTCTTGCGTGATAGTCCAGCATGATAACCATACGGCCACGTAGACAGTTCATAATAAGAAATTTCATTTTATTTTGTATAATAATAGAAATACATTACAAATAATTAATTATATTAATAATCGCATTGATTACATTATTATAATAATTATCGATTAAGATCGATCACAAAGAAAAATTCCTTCGATTTGACAGGACACGAATCTGCGTCTGTGCCATACCAGGGCGTTCACTCATGGTTAACCCCAACTTAATTTTATTTTAAATATACTTTTCTTAGAATAATATAATTATTAAAACCGGCTCGTAGTCGATTTTACTATCGCGGGTAACTCACATTTAACCCTAACGTAAATTTACCTTTACTTATTAGCACGTAGGTACTAACATTGTTCAAATTAAAATCGACTTGCAGTCGATTTCAGTGTCGTGATTAACTCGCAGTTAACCTCGACGTAACTTTATTTTTTTTTAAATACTTGACATATTAGCACGTAGGTACTAATATTGTTCGAATCAAAATCGACTCGCAGTCGATTTCGTTATCGTGGGTAACTCGCAGTTAACCTTGACGTAATTTTATTGAAAAAATATACTTTACTAATTAGCACGTAAATACTAATACTATTTAAATTAAAATCGACTCGCAGTCGCTTTCGTTATCGTGGTTAACTCGCGGTTAACCCCGACGTAAATTTATTTTAAAAAATACTTTACTTATTAGTACGTAGGTATTAATATTGTTCAAATTAAAATCGACTAGCAGTTGATTTCGTTATCGTGGTCAACTCGCAGTTAACCCGACGTAATTTTATTAAAAAAAAAATCTTTACTTATTGTACAATATTAGCACGTAGGAACTAATATTGTTCAAATTAAAATCGATTCACAGTCGATTTCGTTATCGTGGTTAACACTCAGTTAACCCCGACGAAATTTTATTTAAAAAATTGTTTACTTATTACCACGTAGGAACTAATATTGTTCAAATTAAAATCGACTAGCAGTCGATTTCATTGTAGTGGTTAACTCGCAGTTAACCCCGACGTAGTTTAATTTAAAAAATATACGTTATTTTAATTTTTTATTGAATTGATATTCAATTATTTTGTAAAAATATACGTTATTTATTAACACGTAGGTACTAATACTGTTCAAATTGAAATCAACTCGCAGTCGATTTCATTATCGTGTTTAACTCGCGGTAAACTCCGAGGCAGTTTTATTATAATTCATGTAAATGCACATATTAATATATCTGTTCGGATTTTCATCCACTCATGTTCGATTTGGTTATCGGGGATAACTCGCAGTTAACCCGATGTTTTATTAAATGTAGGTTAGATTCACATTTGCGATGTAAGGAAGCGAACATTTATTACAATTGCGGAAGTAGCTAGTAGTGCTATATGATAACAAATGAATATTTTCATTTTTTATTTTCATTATTTGTGAGCGTAAGAAAAAATCTTACCTTGATCAATGTCCAACTCGTCCGATGACATTATGATCCTATAACGCCGACGACGTTTGGCATCTGTATTTTCCAAGTATTTCAGTTTACTTTTATAATATTCGATATTTTTTATGTTTGTTTGCTTTGACATTTTAACGGAGCTGCGGTTTTAACGGAACGGGTGTGGATTTGGACGGTGTGCTTGTTGCCACAAGTTGTGTTGAGGATAGAAAATGGTGGTGGATGCCTGGTAGGGAGTGTAAACGTCAAAACATTTTTTTTCTCTAAAAACCGTGCGGTGTTACCTAACAAGTTAATGAAACTACCTGGTTAAATATTATATCGAGAATGAAGCGATGAAATATAATTATAAAAAAATGCGAATTAATTTCACAAAAAATAAATGAATGTCATGGTAGTAAAATAAATAATATAATAAATCAACATTAGATCATTACTCTATATAGTTAAACTAAAGAGCTATAATTAGTAAAAAAAAATCTCAAACTGACATACGTTAAAAACAACACCTTAGAATTATCCGCCGTAAATTAGAAACATTTTACCTGATTTTTTACTTCGTGCATTACAAAGTTAGAACACATTTGTTTATTTATTTCAATCGTTATTATTGCATACAATAATAATAATGTACATATACATTGCACATAGGAAAACTATTTCGGAATTTATTAATAAAAATCTTAAAAAAAACCAAATTATAGTGACAAGTCGCAAAATTATATTTTTTTTAATTTCCTAACTTCAGTCGCTGATTCCTGTTTCACTGCCGTTTTGTATATATATCTAAAGATGACGTCTATGAGACGATGCCATATTTCGTTCTGTGCTGCATCGAAAAAATCCTCTTCAGTCGTGGTTGAGCCATACACCTGCATCGAAAAGTCCAACGCGTAAGGAATACCATACACCTGAAAAAAAAATACACATGAAAGACAGTGCGCTAAAAGTAGGCAGAAAATCCGAGTTAAAAATGGTTTCCTAGAAACCCTAAAGCGAAACCATAGCAATGCTCAAAATCACACAAATTGTTAGGTAGTTAGTTGCCTGTAAATCGTAATCAAAACAGAATTTGAAAACAAAAAAATAATTGATAACCGTCCGATAAATAAATGAAAGCCGTGGTAGCCTAATGGTTTGACCTACTGCCTTTCAAGCACAGGGTCGTGGGTTCGAATCCGGGCTCGCACCTACGAGTTTCTCGGAATTTATGTGCGAAATTTAATTTGAAATGTAATCATGAACTTTTCGGTGAAGGAAAACATCGTGATGAAGCCTGCACGTTGAAGAAGGTTCACAACCCTCGGAAAACGTGTGAAGTCCCCAACCGGCCTAGGCCAGCGTGGCGCACTATGGTCTAAACCCTCGTCTGAAAGTAAACCCGTGCCCAACAAAGGGACGTATAAATGGGTTGATGATGAGAATGATGATGATGACTAAAATAATTTATTTTTCTTTTGTTAATCTTAGGTCCTATCAACTAGTGCAGTCAACTAGAAACAGTTTTCGGTCGTATTTCCGACAAACGTGTTTTCGTCGAGTCATTGTCGCGGAATCTCATAATTAAGTACACTGGAATGGTTCGAAACATGTCGAGTAAAAATTCGACTTAAATACATAAGTTATCCGTTAGTTTAGTTAAGGCGAAGGCATTTCAACTTGAGCCTAGATTTTAGGAAGTGAGGTGGTCGCCTCTCGCATGTCGCATTGCAAATGAATATGAATGAAATAAGAACAGGTGAGCAAGTGCCCGATGGCGATTGACGGGGCAACGGACGTATCGTTAAACCGCTGGGTAATTTGCAAATTTTGAGATAAATGTGAATTTAATAACTAATACGCCTTCAGTTGAAAACCAAAATTTAGCAAGTTCTCCGTACTACTTAAAGACAAATATGTCCATATATAAATTATGTATAGTGTTACATATTTTATTCTTAAATAATAAGTTTTACACTTTTATTTTAGCCTGTTTTCAGAATTACATCGTATCGTGTAAATTATTAGCAGATTCTTTAAATAATATCCTTAATATACATAATCTCGTTATTCAAAATAATATAAATAAATATATTATTTCATTTCGGAAATACAAAATCGAACAACAGTCGATCTGATATCCACAGCTAAGAACAGCGAACGAAATATACAGTGTCCTGAGAATAAGCAGTCTTGAACATAGGTCTTTGTTCTACGGATGAGTCGATTTTTTGTGAGACCGTCCATTAATAGTAAATACCTGATCTAGCAAAACTGTTTTTCCCGCTTCTCCTCCAGTGACTCGCCTTAATATTCTATCTCAGACCTCACCTGAAACTTGTCATCTTGCACATGTAGCCTTACTAAACCAAGTGTATGATTAGTTGGATACGCTGTTAAGGCAGTTAGTAATTTCTATAACTGTAAGTTTGCCTATCATAGGTAGGGCACTATCTTGCAGTGAGGACCCCCCCCCCCCCCCCCCCCGGTGTGAGGAGGAGAGATGTAGCAGGCTGGATCAGTTTATATTTAGAATTGTATAAATAATAGAAGGTTGTTGTCAAATGGACATCTTGGAGTTCTGGTCAAAGCTTTCAAATTGAATGTATAAAGTTTTATTTATGAATATAATCCACGTTTATCTTTAAAAAGTGCCTCTCGCTACGCAATCTCACGACTACGTCCCGTTACAGAACTAATAGTTTTCTTACTGTGGAAGCATAATCTACACTGGTAATTGAGAACTATATATTTTCTTACTGTTGAAGCGTAATCTACACTGGTACCAGTGACTTTCCCGTACCAGTTGTAGAGACTGTCAACTGCGACAGACATTACTTTAAAGCTGGCATTCCTCATCGCCTCGTCAATCTCGCCCTTTAAATCGACGTACTTGTCATCGTCTCCTGTTGTTGCTGTAAACCCTTTCGGATAAAGTACTGCGTCGCCCTGAAAGTTATTGTCAACAATTACCATAACACATTATTTGATAAATTAATTGCAATACCGTAGATACATTAGTAGTTTCAAGTTTGTTTCTTTTTAATAAATTGTATAATTGAACGGTTTTCCTTCAATATAAATTACTATGTTACTTATAAGGAATTAATTCTTATAATTCACCCATTATAAAAATACAGGATATTATTTTTTTTCACATTATTTCGCTTCGACTCCCAGGTGGAGCAGAAAAGTTTAAAAGTCTTTGAAAGCAGTATTACTTACTTTTAAAAATAAACTAATATGTACATGAAGCGTTGCCTATCTACACAAATATAAACACAAAACAATCAATTAAGAAAAATAATGAATATGTGAATAGTAAGTAGTAATTGCTAGTGAGAGTAAAAGGACAATATGTGATAATAATGTCATGTTTTTATTGGTCATATGCACGCATTTACCACAATCTCACTTGATGATATGGGACAACGCTTGCACTAGGGCAGACAATTCTATGCGTTTCACAGTGCACGTAAAGAAAGAAGCAAAGCGCTTCGTGTGTATAGATGGTACAGAGTTCCTTGGAAATGGAAATGGAAAAACCGAAATTAAATATAATTGTGCCATTACATCGCATACACTCCGAAATGTATCCGACAAAATGCCAATAAACGGGCAACTTTCAGCAGTCTGGAATCTCAAGACTCCTAGCTTATAGCTTGTCCACCAGGGCATTATGATTGTAATGAATTGAATTCGTGAAAAAAATTTCATTTTGTGCGTAGTTATTACAGTGTCTGAATCTGAATCTGTGGAGAAGCATTCCAAAGCATTCAGTACAAGGCCTTCTTCCAGCCAAGGATAATCAATATTAATCTCTAAAATTTCATGCTTGAGCAACATGCCTAACAGAGTAACACAAAAAAGTATTCATTCAATAAAGTTTGTATATGTCTGAGCTGTCCAAGGATTTTCTGCACGATTATTTTACCTAAATGTTGGCAGCTCTGAAACAATTTCAGAGCTACCGACACTCCGTGTGTGGAACTCAAATTCTTCTACAATTCAGCTTAAATAAATACATCAATACCTTAAAAACGTGTTTATTTAAGCCCCCTCCATGCACATGAATGTAGGCGACGATCTTGTGGCTCAATCGATGGAACACTTCCCGAATGGCTTGCGTCTCGTATTCAGAAAAGGCGTGATCTCCAGGGTAGTACTGACTACACGACGACAATAGAGGTCCTTCGTTCCAAGCGACGTCGAAATTGCGATCCAACATCACCCCCGGACATGCGTCTTGAGGCGACATGTTCTTATTCCAAATGGGATGCTGCAAAAATACCCTTAATTAAATTAACCAACGCCAAAGAAGGAGGACTCACTTCAGTTTGTACACGTATGTTTATGACGAACACAACCAAGGCACTGTCGACTTTGCACGAAGCCTCAGAGCTTGGACAATGGATATAGCTCGCACAGATTATTAATAGACTGCGTGATTTTGGACCTTTATACGGTAGTGTCCACTTTTTTGAACTGGTGATCAGCAATGTCTTCGTTGTTTGAGACATTTGTCCAATATCTAATTGAAAACTTATGCAAAATCTGAGTGGGATACCTTATGAAGTACTTTGAAATGTATATTGAACAGTGCGATGAGATGCGGCGAGAAGAAAAAGAAAGTGAAACGTTTGAGGGTTGATACAGGTACATGCAGTTACATGTACTTACATGCAGACTAAACGACACTCCATCGGGATTGGCCATTGGTATGAGATAAATATCAAACTTATCTAAATGTTCCAAATAATTCTTTAAAAGTGATACAAAATTATTTATTTCATATAAGTATGGCAACTCGGTGAAGCCCCAAATATTCAATCCATGTACAATGAATATGATTTTCTTTTCAGGTGGATCGTCTTCGTATTTTGCAGACATTTTATCAGTCCTCAGAATATCATGATGTAGTTCAGTTGCTTGAAGAAGAATTACGTCATTGTATGCAGCCGTACGTCCAATAGTAGTAAGTGTTACATTGGTATCTTGTAATTCGCATAATATTTTTTTAAGTTGTTTTGTTAACTGAAAAACGTCATTTCATTATTTTAATATTTATTATTTACTGGATATCAAAACCCTGTGAAAATAACCTCATATCTTGCGGAGTATGTGCGTGTCAAAGAAAGTGACTCCATATTCTTTTATACCTTGACGAAACCAGGAAAGGAGCGTCAGCATCTCACTGTGTATTTGATAGTGGCGTTTCAATGACCACTAGCCCGTTTTGAGTGGCAATTTTAACAAATAATATTTTATATTTATAAACGGTAGCAATAAGTCCTATTGGTAATTGTAAAATGTTTGTATTAAAAGGACACTTACGCTGTAAGGACTAAGGTTTTCCATACTAGGTTCATCTAATTTACCACTGAAAATAAAATTAATTATATTAGTTGAGTCATTCATGAAACTTCATACATGCACGGACATAAACTACACAAATTATCATGTCCCACGGAAAAAGAACATTGCAAATGCAAAAATTAAATAGAATGTCCTGAAATAATGTAACTTACTCTAATTAACGATCCCGAAAAATTCTCTCAAATAAACGGCAAAATTAATTTCAGATCTATTCTTAGGAATTTTAAGCAACTTACTGCAACTTAATGCAACTTACTTTTGTCGAACGTTAGTTTTCTCAGAATACTGCCGTAACGCAGTTTGAGTTGAATTACCCGGACTGTAATTTATACCACATTTCCATTTATTCTGTTATAAGTTTTTGTTAACTTATGCGTTTTAGAGTTATCACAATAAAAATTATTAAAGAAATTTTACCTCTCAATGTATGCGGCAGTAAATCGTGGTCTGTAAAAATTTCATATGCTGTTAGTACACAAAAATACGTCCTTACTGTACGAGTATGTTATTACTTCGAATTATCGCGAAGGTACTATATCCGCTTCTTGGTCATATCCAGCGTGTAAATTTAAGGTTAAACTTGCATAAACACCTCTCAATACAATACGAAAACTTTGACTCGACTTGATAATAATTAAAATTGTAAATGCTGATATTTTCTTCGTGTTGCGAGGGAATCACTATAGCAAAGGTTTTTTTTATTGATAAGCATTATGTATTCTCTTCAGACAAGACCAAATATACAGATAGGGGGATTAAATACCTCCTAAGTCTCCATGTCCCTGTAATTTAGAAGCGTCGGTAAAGACAGTAGTCCAGTTATGCCATTCTCTCTCAACTATCTTAGTTTTAAAATTCCCCGGGAGCAAACCAAGTCTTCAACGATTTGAAGACTTGGTTTGCTCCATGTCTGGTTTGCTCCATTCCAAAACTAAGATAGACTGTTGGGCGGAACTTTAAACATTTAAAGCCAGTTTCAAACAACGGGTTCATATAATTTTGGCATATAAGGTATGGAGGGTTTCTTGTGGGACCAAAATTAGAAGAAAGGATAATCTCCGACAAGGATTGTGACATAGGGATCAACGGGTGAGAGGAAAGTTGAACGATCTTGAAAAGAAATCTATTAACAAGGAATTGTCTGCGTAGATGTAGACGGGGCTCCAGACATTCGACTCGAAGAGCGTCTGTTGGTGAGGATTTCTTGGCACACGTGACTAATCACAAGCAGGTTGCCTGGATTCCGTCCATCTTAGCTAAGGCTAGCTTGTTGCATGGTTCCAGAAGGAAGCCGCCATAATCAAAATTACTTCTGACAATTGCGTTGCAAAGGAGACTTTGGTTATAAGGATGTGATCCCCAACCAACACCAAAAAGTGCAAGTGCAAGGACATTCACGTTATTTTCAGCTTTTTCACAAATATTGTTGAGGTAATGGATGCCAGACAATTTTGAGTCCAAAATATTGCTAGTAAAAAAAAAAAATTAAAATTTAATTTTTTTTTTTTTTTAATTCAAAAATAAAAAATATTTATATTTTAAACATTTTATTTATTTATATTTTTTAGCTGTACTTTTGGAAGCTGAAAGTGAGAGGCCGTGATCGGATAGCCAAGAATCGAGATAAAAAAGGTCAGAGTTGAGGCGGCTTTCAGTATCTGAGAATGATTTGGAACAAGCGTACAGAGATACATATCGTCTACGTATTGCAAAATTTTGCAGAAGCAATTGACTGAAGTGTCGAGGTCAGACGTGTACATGCTGTAAAGGAGAGGGCTAAGAACGGAACCTTGAGGCAACCCATTCCAGACGATACGATGAGTTGCAGATGATATTGATCATTCTCACAGGAATACTCAGATTGAGCATCTTCTGCCTGAGTAGTGGAAGATTCACATTATCATAAGCGGATGTTATGTCTAAGAATATACCTATGACGTATTTTCCCTTCGGAGAAGGCTAGTCGAACATCCGATGTAAAAATGCTTAGGCTGTCCATAGAGTCCGTGCCTTTTCGGAAGCCAAACTGGCTTCTGGATAACAATCCCAATTTTAATAAGTGTTCTATGATTTTAACTCAAACAGATGATAGGGCGATAGATCGATATGAATTTGAGTTGGATGGGTCGTGCCCAGGTTTTAAGATTAGAACGATAATTTGGATTTTCCATGATATAGGAACTATGCCAGATTTATAAATTATGTTCATAATATTCAAAAATAAAATTTTCGTGGATTTACAGGGCCTGCTAATAAACGTATAGAGAATGCCGTCTGCACCCGGCGCCGAATCCCTAAAATGGTCCGAAGCGCTAGTTCTTCGAAAGATAAGGGATCATGAATACCGTCAGAAGTTGACAAGGAGGGGTTTTTAGCGGCAGATGCTTCTGAATGTAATATAAATAAATAATTTTGCAATAAAATCCGCGAGCCGTTAGATGAGATGTTGTTATGGTCAGTTTGAGATCTGCGAAAGGATTTTATTCTCTTCCAGACTATAGACGGGTGGGTGCGGGGTTCCAGAGATTCGCAGAAGGTACGCTAACCCTGAAATTTCTTCTTGATCAGAAACCTTCTCGTGTGAGCTTTAAAGATTCCCCTTTTGGAAAGTTAAATAATTCTCAAAGGATAAGTCACATGCGATTCAAGTTCTGCCTGATATCGTTCCTTGACTGACGACGAGCACCACGAATCCCACCACGGGGAAGAGGAAATTTTACAGTTTGCAGAGTTTTTCAAAGCGATAGTTTCACCTGCGGCTGACAGCAAACATGAGACGAACTCGGAATATATAGACAAAATGGTTGAGGGGGTTACTTAAAACTGGTTTGCATGTTTACTATTTTGCTGTTCAGGACCAAAGAGTACACTTCCAAGTTAGTCTGCTTAAGTTTGTATTTAAGTAAGTGCAGAATTGACGTCATTGTTGCGTAGAAGAGATTGTAATAATTTTGACATCATACTTTGTATAATTTCAAGGTTCATTCAAGGTTTATTGTACGGTAATATATCATTGAATTTGGAAAGTACATTTATTATTAAATTAGTTATAATATCAGACAGATTGTAATTTGGACTAGTATAACAAGGGTTATTATTATTTGAAGGGTCCCTAAAGGAGAACACCATTAGGTTGCGTGGACTTGGGCGTAGATGTTATAAAATTATGTGAGTTTTTATCATAGCCGTGGGTTCGTTTTTGTCTACGGCGGCTTTCTGTAAAAGTTGTCTTACGATAAGATGTGGATGAAATCTGGGACTGTAGGCGGACATTGGTACTAGGCGGAGACCTAACTGTTTGGGGTAAGTGAAGAGAAGGGGCAACTGCGGGCGCTGGGATGGAGATGCCATGTCAGCATATGATTTTCGTACTGAGCTGAATCATCCGGAAGTTTCTAGGTAACCAATATTGTCTTCAGCCATCACTTTATCACTTTTTTGATTAGCTTTTCACGGGTATGCTCTGGGCACCTTGAGTCCATAGCTTTATGGGAGGCAGAACAGAAAAGGCAGGACACTGCATCATCTGGTACGGTGCAGGAGGGGCCAATCATGATTCTGGGCACATCTGGAGCAGCGCGGGTGTGAACGGCATTGCTCACAAACATGTCCAAAGCGGCAGCACTTGTACATTATGGCTTGAATATATAGGTCCACTGGAAGAGACATATTAAAACAAAAGACTCTCCGGGAGGATCTGTCCCAAAAATGTCAATACCACAGTGGCAGATGGCTCCCAAGTGGCTTGTCCTTCAACTATTCGTTTTTTATTTAGCCTCCTAACCTTTAAAACTTGAACCTCTCAATAAAGTTGTTTGCATCCTGAGGTGTTTGGAAATAAATTGATACTTTGTCTCTGCCATTGCTTTTTTTTCCGAAATTGTTTGCTATTGTAGATTGTTTGGGCGATTTTTAAAGCACGCTTTGAATTTGTGGTAGCAGAGGAGTCACTCTCTGTACGAGAAACATGGACTAGAAAGGGTCTAACGTCATTGTTCGAATATTTGAAGTCAAAGTTACTTTCGTATCACTCCAGGGTATATTGTATGTTGCACTGATGCAGACGGGGGAGCCTTGTCTTTTTAGTGGAGCTATCAATGTCCGCGTAAGGAGGGCGTTAGCTCTTTTGATCACTGGTGTTGATCTCCATTGAGCTAACAGGCGGAGATATAGATAGAGAACGAGGCCCCCTATTAAGGTGCTCCGCTTCGTCATTGGGATCACAGAACATGAGGGGAACCTACCTCTATGGTATTTTTTACCACCAAGAACACATAATACAACACAATTTCAAACTCTCAGTGAGAAATTAATAGAAAAGCGAAATTCAGTCCGGACACGTGTGTTAATCATCACACCTTTCAACCATGACCCAACCCTGCATTGTAGATGTTTGAAAGATATATGAAAAAAAAACAAAAACCTATACTTCTCCGGTTGCCTTGTCTTTGCCTTAATTTCTTCTTCCTTCGATGTATAGCTATTTATGGTTGTATGTTCATTTTTTAGTTTGTGTGTCTTTTTCTTTTCTTTGTTTTTCATCTCGTGTTTTATTATTTCTTTGTCTTTTGGCTGCCGGGGTTGCTTCTCACTTTCACGATTGCGATCATAATGGTAACGTTTTGTAGTAAGATGTTTTTTATCTTTGTTATCTAGATCCTTTTTCGGCCTAATTATATTTTTTTCTAGTCTTATTTTCGTCGTCGATTCCAGTTCATTTTCCGTTTCTTTTGGAGCTTTTAGTTGTTCTGCTGTCTCTTCCGTTTCCATTGTATTTTCCCTATTTTTTCCCAACGTCTTCACCATGTCTCCTTCTGTAGTTTTTCTTGTTTCTTTTTTTTTTGACATTCTTACCACATACTTGTCTTCACTGTATTTTATTTTATCTCTTTCCGCTTTTGTATTGTGCTTGACTTTCACAGTTTCCTCCTGTGTATCTGTTGTATATCTCGACTCTTTTATTGTCGATTTTCTTTTGTGTGCTTTCCCAATTCTTGCTATTACGTTTTTAATTACTGTTTCTGAATACTCGTCGGTTTCTTTACCTACTTCCTTTTCCTTCTCCGTTTCTGTATCTGTCTCCACTTCCGATTCCGAAGACTCGCTTTCCGAACTTTTATAATTTCTTTTTCTACGACGTAGGTACCTTTGAAAAAAAAATTGAGTATCATAACCGTTGTTATAAACAGAGTCCAATACTGTAATAAATAGCAATATAAAAAATACTTAAATCTATGTATGCCAAGTAAATGTCAAAGAAGAGATCTCCATTTGTTTGTTATCTCCATGTGTTCTCCATTTGTTACTATTAAATCTATATTGAGATTCTATGCATAACACTTGGAAGACACAAGAAACTACAAATTAATTGTTTGTTTTTTAGATCTACGAATAATCTTAAAATTTACAATTTTCCTGAGACAGCTACCATTTATCGAAATAATTTTCTGAATAATTATTATCACAAATGAGCACGAATAACTTGTTTCCCTGTTTCGCCTTGTAGTGCACTATAGTCGCTGTCGTAACCCACTTCATAAAGTATTCTACATTCCACCAAGTTGTACGAAATATGGCCGGAAATGAGATCGTTGCGCGTCTTACAACTACGTGCAAAAAGTTTTTCAGTTTTGGGTTTAGCTAGGTGCGACGAGACGTGCGGGGCTGCGGCGGCGTAACATTGACATCTTTGCACATACTAAACATTCATTTAGACGACGAATTAGTGGAGTAATTTGTCCATTCTAAGTTGTTACATCTGACTTTTTTTTTCTGTGATACCCTGTAATTGGCATTATATACTGGTCACGTAAAATAGATTTTTAAGTTTGAATTGTATGCTTTAATAAATAAACAATATTTCAAATTACTTTCAGTATATTACTTTATCAGAAAAAAATTTATTGATTTGTATCGTAATAAAATACAAAAATATGTTTTATTAAAAATACATGCAAACCTTTGGTTAGGATATAGTTTTCTTAAAACCAAATTTAACCAGTCTACGGAATTGTTCTTGATGTTATTCCCCATATCTGAGATCAATGTGTCTAACAAAACCTTGCTTTTATTCTTGTTTGACTTTGATTGTGATGTAGAGGGCCTTTTTATTCGATTGTCCCAGAAGTAGAATGTTGGTTTTGTTGAAAAAAATTGCCTGTACACTAAATTTGCATCATCGTCTTCACTGTTCTCAGCACTTTCGGACTTATGGATCTCATTTTCTGCCCGCCTGGAAAAGTCAATAGTGTTTTAAAGCTTTCTACACACCGGTGACACAGCCCAGCGGATTGGTGTCGGTATCCTTATTTCTATTCTAATCATATGACATGATTCTGGAAGCAAAGCCGCCGACAGGAATCCGGCTGTGTCGCCGGGGCGGCGGGCTCGGTGTGTACAAAGCCTTACGAACTAGCCTATATCCTAACTTTATAGTCATCGTAATATTTAGAAGTTTTTCTTTAAGATGACAGTAGCACATTTTTGCAAAATACTTCAAAAATACATTCCAGCGATTAAGCTGTTTCAGGCAAAAAGGTAAAGAAAATGACGGCCCGATTGAAGCGATCGCTTTAGGTATCTACTTTTAATTACGTACCTAAATTCCAAATTGTCTTCGCCACAATTCACTACAAAAAAAATAGTGATTAAATTTTTAACAATTATTAAAAACAAATTAAATTGCTTAAAGCCTTATTTACCCTCATTTAAACTGAATAAATATATAACTACAACGAACACAAGTAAACTAAAATATGAAGAAGCACGTTGATACATAATTGTTAGCAGGTTAATATGTTGAAATGATTATTGTACGACCAATATTATAATATAATCAAACGCGTATTTTACTTAGATTAAGTGTTGTACCCTTTCGAAGACATAAATTATTATTATTATTACGTTTAAACTTTAAAACTACCTACGGCTTAAAAAAATGATAAAAATATTATATATAAATTTAGGGTTCTGCATTGGTAAAAAGAGGTTATGTTATATTTTCGGTCACTACGTTAATCCACATATTTATGTCTCAGTGCTCTACGTGTCAAACCAAAACACTGCAAGTCCCAATAAGGGCGCGTTCCCATTATGTCGTAACGTTTTATTTAACGTTAGACGACTGTCGCGTCTAGCTTGTTCCCATATCACGACTATTTGTCGTGACTCTGTCATGGACGATTATTTTATCGTCAAACGACTGTCGTGTCTAGCTGTTCCCACTAGATCGTGACGACAATTTATCGTTTCATGGCAGCCGCCTAGTCGTTTGCACAACAGAGTCGTTTGATGCACTGCAGTCTCTTCTACGAGTATGCTCTTTTGGAAACCAATAGTGTGTGTTCGCTCCCGTGTGAAATGGATGAAGATGAAATTTTAATAATGTATTACTTTTTACAAACGCGGAAGAGGAATCAAAACGAAGAAAAAAGGTTTGGGTACATGAAATGTTATTAAAAAGACTTCCATTAGGATTGTGTCAAACGTTTATAGATGAACTGAAGATTGATGAGAGAAAATTTTGTGACTATTTAAGAATTATAACGATAATTATAACGATGTAAAAATATGTATAATTAAATTTGAACAAAACTCAATCCACAACAAATACTTAGTTGTAAATAGTTTTTGTCCTCGATTTCAGGCATTAATGTGTTTTAGTCCGATTTAAACCATCATTAACAAAAAGCCGAGTTACAACCCGAGCGCTTCCCCATCTCTGACTACGACCCAACGCTAGTGCAAAGCGAGCCGTGGGCGCGGGGTATGAGAGGGGAGAGTAGGGAGCAGAACCATGCAGACAACGATAAATGAAACGTGACGACAATAGTAGCAGCGGCTATCCTGTCTTCACGTTTTTATCGTGACGTTTTATTTATCGTCAGACGACTGTCGTGCTAACTCTTCCCATTGTCACGACAATCTGTTGTCGTAACGACAAAAAATCGTGAACGATAGTTAATCGCGTCGTACATATGTGAACAACTTCATTTAAATGTACAAGCCACGACGCTCTATAAATTGCAAGACTCTCTGACGTCACAACATAATGGGAACGCGCTCTAAAGTGTTTTGTACCTTCATTACAACAAGAACCTTTCCATTTTCGAAAGGAATTTACTCGTTTTTCAATATAAATAACTTATTTTGCACAGTATTGTATATGCACAGAATTGTACAAAGTAATTTAAATCTATCATTTTATATTATTAACCTCAAAATTTCCAAATAAAAAAAAACGTTTTGTGGGCTTTTTTGTGTTGCAGATATATGTCCGTCTTTAAAAAGATTTTTTATTAGTTCTATGCTGAGAATCGAAGTCATAAACAACCTTTTGCTCATAAGTTGCGCGGTTAGTATAATGATCAATTTACGTTAAAAATGCTGTAGATAATTGTTACATCGCTGTGCTCAAAACTATTAGGTGTCGTTTGTGATGCGTGGTGCATTTCACTTGATAACAAAGTTCAGTCACTGGGTTATTTTCTTATTGCATTCTTAAAACAGAAAAAGTTTTTATTATGAGACCCAGTGGCGAGACGAACCATTGCCTTTATCAAGTCTCCACCTGGTGGTAAGTGTTGTAAATCACAAAGATCTAAGGGGCACTGCCACTGCGCCTGTCATCTTGAAATTTAGGTTGACAAGTTACCATGTGCCCGTAATTTCACCGGAACGCAGTAATGCTCACATGACGGCTTGGCGACAGAAACAGTGAGGTATTTCCCTGATCTAACTCTTTCACAAAGAGCTCTACTGCGACTAACTAAGTTTGCATAACTGAGTATAGAAATCCTACAGAATCTTCGGTTAAAATTCAGATATACTCTTAGATGGCTTTATTTTTATTGAAGTTTTTATTACCTTCACATTTGATAAAAAATTTAATATAATGCATTTCCTTCGTCCTAAAAGTGATGAAACTAGTTCTTGTCAGCAATGAAAGACCACTACTACATATTATAACCTTGTAATTTTTTGTCGTCCATACAAGCATGTACCAACGGCTTGACTATGTCTATAGGAAATTAAAAATAAATGAGTAAGTTTAGAGAAGTTGTAGAACATGTTTATCTTGATATAATAAAGCCACGTTCGATCACACGTGAAAGTCATAAAAATAATACAACCTGAAAAAAAAACATGAAAAAAATTATGTATATGTGAAATTTTATAACTCCTATTTAAGGTGAGTTTCCGGAGAAGAAGCGGGAGAAACTATTTTGCTAGATCAAATGGTTTTTGGTATTTGCTAGTAAATAACGATCTTACAAAAAGTATACGACATACCAAAGAATATTGTCTAAAGAATATGCTGATTTGTTACACAATAGGATGTACTTTATCCGATCATATAAATCCTGAAAATAGGCTAAAATAAAAGTCTAAACGAATTATTGAAGAATAAAACATCTAACTTCGTACATAATTTTTATATGGAGATATTTCTCTTTAAATCCTACAGAGAACCTGCTAAATTTAGTTTTTACCTGAATCACTTTAAAGTCACATTTAACCCAAGTTTTGCTAATTACCCAGCAATTTAATGACACGCCGCACCGCTCGTTGCCCCGTCTGTCGCCTACTGATACTGCTATTGTCGCATAGAGCTCTCGTCCTTTATGTCGCTCTCGCGTTAGTCGCATCCCTATCGTGCTAAACCTACTGGGAATGGAACCGACTAAATGTGATTGCATTTTTATGATGCCAATCGAAAGAGTCAATTATTAGGATGATTATTTTTAAGCAACGTAATATCTTAAATTAAAGCAACCACCTTTTCAGCGCGAGAGCGACATAAAGCGCGATTACGCAATACT